AACTCCATAAGTATGAGGAAGTATTTGATTAGTAAGCGTCTTAAGAATATGTATTCAATTTCCAAGTTATGGTATAAGGAAGTATCCTGGAAGGAAATTATAATTATTTTGTATAAATATTTAGTTTTTTTTCGTGCGAATGTTTTTCTAATTTTTTTCTAATTACTTGCTTACAATTGGGAGGAGGTAATGGCTGTGGAGGGTGCTATCACAGCTATAGAAGCTACTATATATACGTGGGACGGTGAAGTTGGTAGTGTAAATTGATCAACAAAAGGCAATTTTGTAGGTAAAATACGGAAATAAAAAAAATAAGGAGGGTAGGGTAAGGTGGAAGGTAGAGAAAGAATCTACAAGGGCTTCTATGGATTTTTAAACATTTTTTACTAAGCCCACTAAGCCTAAGCTTACTAAGCCTACTAAGCCTAAGCCTATTAATCTTAAGCCTACTAAGCTTGAACCTTCTATTCTTAAGTCTACTAAGCCTAAGCCTACTAAGTCTAAGCCTACTAAGCCTAAGTCTACTAACTCTAAGCCTACTAAGCTTAACCCTACTAAGCCTAAGCCTACTAAGCTTAACTCTCCTAAGCCTAAGCTTACTAAGCCTAAGCCTACTAAGCCTAAGTCTACTACGCTTAAGCCTACTATGTCTAAGCCTACTAAGCCTAAGCTTACTAAGTCTAAGCCTACTAAGCTTGAGCCTACTAATCCTAAGCCTATTAAACTTAAGCCTACTATTGTTAAGCCTAATTTTTTCATTGTAAGCTTATAAGATTCAAGTATACTAAGCCTACAGCATCACGTGTAATAAATATTGGAGCAACTGTCATATTCAGATTAGATTTGTGCTTGCTGTGCTTGCAGTTTTTATGACAACTCCAGATTTAATTTTTTTAGCCTTTGAGCACTTTTTTTGCTTTAGGCCTAACCCAGAGCTCTAGTCCTAGCTTTTATTACTAGCTAGTCAATTTTTTTTTCAAAACCTAAATTCATAAATGAAAGCCCAGCCTAATGAACCTACTATAATATAAGAGTGCGTAAGAGGTTTTGTCCGGAAAGGGGGGGAGTCTTTTAAAGAAAACCGACCACTTTGAGGCGGTTTCAATTACCAATTAGGGATCGGTCGAATGGCTAACGACTCTTACCTGTAACAACAATTTATTTCGAACCAATTTCGATTCGAAATGGGATTGTAATGTACAGAGTAGGGTTACTTTATTTTGTAAGAAGTGGAAAAAAGGGGGGATGGGTTGTTAGAGGAATGTTAAGGTGTAAAGAAAGTTTTTGCGATTTTTAAAAAAATTAAAAAATATTTTTGGAAAGAAAGTTTTTGAGGTTTTTGAAAAAAAAATATTTTTGGAAAGAAAGTCCTTGCGGTTTTAAAAAAATACTTTTGGAAGGAAAGTTCTTGCGGTTCTTAAAAAAATTTTTTTTAATTAAGCTTAAGTTTGAGCCTAAAACATTTTTGCAGTTAAGCCTAAAACTAAGTCTAAAAACGAGTTTTGTAAAAAAAGTTCCTGCAATGCCTTCAAAAATTTAAAATTTAAAAAAAATGTTTTTAGTTTTGACGTTTAAAAATTACGTAGGTTTTTAATTAAAATCCACGTACTTATTTGAGTATTTAATTTTGTTTTTATGTACTATAATAAATTAAGAGAGGAAATATTAACTATTAATCGGCTTAAATTTGTTTTTGATTACAAATTTTATAGATAACATAAACATCGCGTAGGTTTTGTAATTCAGACTTAACAAGCGGTTTTGATTTAGTAGGCTTATGCTTGATAGTCTTAGGCTTAATATTCTTAGGCTTAGTTCGCTTAGTTTTAGTTGTCTTAGGTTTAGTTGGCTTAGGCTTAGTAGGCTTAAGCTTAGTAAGCTTAGGCTCACTAGGCTTAAACTTAGTAGGCGCTTGCTAGGCTTAGGCTTGCTAGGCTTAGAATTGCAAAGTTTAGGCTTGACAGACTTAGGCTTAGTAGGCTTAGGCTTAGTAGGTTTGGGATTAATAGAGTTAGGTTTAGGAATATTAGGGTTAGTAGGCTTAAGCTTAGTAAGTTTAGGAAGGATATGTATTTACATGTATCTATGTACGCATATTGACATAGTAATCCTCTTGTTTTCCTCCAAGACATTATATATTATTTAAAATACCGTACCCAAATGTATTGTACTACCTCACATTTGGCCAGACATGGATATAAAGTAATTAAAAGTGCCTTTTAGCACAAATATTCGAGGACAATACAATGAAATGACATAATAATAGTAGAAGAACAGACATTTACATCATCTTTGGGGATTAGAATTCATATTATATTATTGTAGACACCCCATCCTAGTGAATTTTACATTAGTGTTTGGCCGATTTTTGATATAAATACGATGTCGTTGTTAAGTTTTTTTTTAATTATAAGCTTAAGTTTTTGTAAGTCTAAGCCTACTAAGTTTACTAAGCTTACTAAGGCTAAGCCTAAGCCTTAGTTCATGTCTAAGCCTAAACCTAAGCCTAAGCTTAAGCCTTAGTTCAAGCCTAAGCCTAAGCTTAATCCTAAGCCCAAGTCCAAGCCTACTAAGTCTAAGCTTGCTAAGACTAAGTTTACTAATCCTAGGCCACTATGTTTTTAAACTTAAATTATTTTTAGTATTTGAGATGAAAGTACGTTTAGGCTTATATTTACAATACTTATAACAATATTATAAACAGAAGCTCTAAAAATACTTTTCGATATAAAAGTTGTATCAAAGAGTAGGGTAGGGTATCGGTTTCAATCCGCTTTTCTTTGATTTGCCACGCAAAGCGCGGATTAATTAAACAACTTTTCCTCGGGTTACTATAATATAGCAGCGATACCTATTCTTGTTCGCTGAAAAAGATCTTTACCTTGCTTTCATTGACAGTTTATGAGAATAGAAGATCTAGGCTTTAGTTTTTTGAGAAGAAGCTGGGGTTATATTGATTCAAAATCAAAAAGTGTGATTGGATTGGGGTGTGGGGTTAGGGGGTGAGAGTTATGGTTGAAGAGCTTGAGTATTAAGTTTAAGGAGGTTTGATGAGTTTTGGCTTAATTTTTTTGGAATGGAAAGAGTTTTTAAAATTTTTTATATCGAAACTTTTTTGAATAAATCGATTTTTTTTTAATTTTGAATTTTATGAAATTTCTTGAGTTGTAAAGAAAGTTTTCGCAAATTTTTTTTGAATTTTTTATTTTGATTACTGTATTTTTCCATTACCGTTTGTTCTACCTCACCTTCACTACCATATCATGCCTTGTCATACTCTATCCTATTCTACCTTAACACACCTTACACTGCTTTACTCTACCCTATCCTACCCTACACTACCCTACTCTACACTACCCTACACTACCCTACCCTACCTTACTCTACCCTACTCTGACTTACCGCACCCTACTCTACCTTGCCCTATCGTACTCTACTCTACTTTACACTACCCTAACTTTACGTCTAACCCCCACTTCTACTCCCCTCCCCCTAAAACCCTTATTGACCTTATTAGTCTCGTCTATTTGAACACGCTGGATAATATAATAATAAAACCACAGTAGTTTACCATGCTATTTACAACATTCCCATTCGCATACCTGGGCGATCGATCTCTATTGTTTTTGGTTCATTATTTGCTTTATATCGGGGGCGAATTTGCATAAATGTCCGGGAAATTGGGGGCGGAGCGGGGGTTCTTATGGGTTGGAAGAGATAGTGGGGGATGACGAAGAGAGGGGGGGAATTGAAATGTAAAGAAAGTACTTGCGTTTTTTGGAAAAAAATGTTTGTAAAGAACGTTTTTGCGGTTTTAGAAAAAAAAATATTTTTGGAAAGAAAGTTCTTGCGGTTTTTGAAAAAAAAAATGTTTTGGAAAGAAAGTTCTTGCAATTTTTGAAAAAAAAATAATTTTAATACCCTAGCTTTATACTGGCCTTATCATAGCCTGTTACTAGCTCTGATCTATTAGGTGCCGACATAAAGAACCCGCTATTTTTTACAGGCAAATTATGGCGGGTTCTTTATGTCGGCACTTAATTGTTTTGTACTAGCCTAACTATTGCCTTTAGTTTTACATAGTGCTAGCCTAACCCTAGCCCTTTGCTTTTCTTTGCTTTACCCTACTATCTAGCCCTAGCTTCTCCTTGTTTTAGCCTACTATCTATCCCATCTTCTCCTTCTTTTACTTTACTATCTACCCCTATCTTCTCTTTGTTTTAGTCCTTATCCTTACTTTACATTGTCTCTGCTTCAATACCAGAGTCTGCTCAAAACTTAGAGAGTTCCAAACAACTCAAGAAATAGCATACAAAACGAGTAGACACCCATAGAAAGTCATAGAAACTTGCAAAAAAGGCGGAGCTTTAACCTTCAGGTAGCTTTATGGTTATACGAAGGGTGTTTTAGGATCTTTGGATGATAAATGGATTAGCTATGGTTGTTAATCGTGCTTAACTTTTTTTAACAGCGCGTGGATAAGATGACTTTTTTAGTTTATATGTTAATATGACCAACCTACACTTTTAAATTTGGTTTTGGGGGTAGGAGGTTTATCAGAGGCTCTTTGATATGGGTTTATTGCCTTAGGGTTTTGGAGTTTTTGAAATTTTAAAACGAATCTTGTCAGTTCATTTTGTACTGTACTGTTTAGTACTACATTGCTACACGTTTTACTAATTAGTGCTACGTGACTTAGTACTAATATGTGTCTACATTGGTACACGTAGTACTGATTAGTAATACATTGGTAGATTTAGTACAATTCTTGGCTACATTGCTACACGTTTTACTAATTAGTGCTACACTGGTACACGTAGTACTAATTAGCACTACTTTAATATATGCAGTACGATAATGAACTACATTCTTTGTTAATGTAACCCTTAATACCGTGCCATGATGAACATTTTTCCACTATAAGATACCGTGATTACTGTATTTTGTAGCAAATTATAATGACATTTTTTAATATAGCTCTTATTACAGATCAACACAAAATGGGTACTAATACTCTATTAGTACTAATACTATTACTAGTTAGTACAGAAGCATTCCAAGTGCTACCGTATGTTCATATTGACTATGAACACTATTACAGATTGGCACAGTGTCAAGCACAGTGCGTTGAGAAGGTTGGTTTTTAAATTTTATACTAGGCTAGAGTAGATAGGGAAGACTTTGTGTAGCGTAGGGTAAGGCAAGCTAGGGCTCTGGGCTAGGGCTCTGGGCTAGGGCTCTGGGCTAGGGCTCTGGGCTAGGGCTCTGGGCTAGGGCTCTGGGCTAGGGCTCTGGGCTAGGGCTCTGGGCTAGGGCTCTGGGCTAGGGCTCTGGGCTAGGGCTCTGGGCTAGGGCTCTGGGCTAGGGCTCTGGGCTAGGGCTCTGGGCTAGGGCTCTGGGCTAGGACTAAAGATAAGACTAAGATAAGACTCAACTAAGACTAGGCAAAGGCTATGACCCGTTGTGCGGCTCATCAAGAAGCTAAAAACGGGCATAAATAAGTTAAGTTGGCACGAAGAAGCTTAATCCTCATTAAGAAAGAAGGGTTTAAGAGGGCTATGTTCAAAAAACAGTGCCGAATCGTTTTGAATTTACGCGTTTTTGGCGCATTAAACGATGGCAATTTAGGTATAAAACAGTTTTAATGTTTAGTTAGTTGAGTACTATCAAAATAAGTTATTGAAAAGTTATTGAAAATTAACATAATATCATTTTAGTACGGCTTTGTGGCTATCAAACGACGATTGGATGGATCATCTAGAAGCTATTTCAATGTTTCTAGCAGCAACTACAATATGGTAAGTATTATATTTGTAAACTGAAAGATAGAGTAAAGTAAAACATATCTATTAGGTGCCAACATAAAGAACCCGCCATACTTTGCCTGTAATTTTTTGTTAATAATGGCGGGTTCTTTATAGAGTGCGCCAAAAGTTCTGTTACAAAACACCAAAAGTTCTGTTACAAAATGCGCCAAAAGTTCTGTTACAAAACGCCAAAAGTTTTGTTACAAACGGTCGTTTTCTTTGTATGTCGGCACCTAATATAAAAGGCAAGTAATTTAAAGTAAAAAGTATTTATGAAGGTCAAGGTAAGGTAGGGTAAAACCTAATATTTTCTCAACAAAACAACCTTTTTCACATATTAAACCATATAATTTCAGTGCGAGCTAGGCTGCTCCCATGCCAGAATGGCGGCCAAAAAGGCAATCCTAAGCCGTTCCATATCAGATGCCTTTGTTGACGGACAAAACTTTTGGCACAATGCTGCAGAATCTGGCCAGAAAAGTGATAAGAAGCAGAATCAAAGCCCGTTGAGCGCTTTGAAAGCGTTCTGCGCTAAGCCTGCGGCTACCGTTCCGGAGAATGGGTTGATGGACTCATTCGAAATTATGTTGACTGCCGTGCCTAAGAAGTTGGAGTTTTTGGCACCAGCCAAAATTCTGGTACAGTGGAAACAAAGGGTACCAATGAGCAAAGGAAACTTTGAAGAGACCAAGTGGATCACTGCTGCGGTAAGGGTTTATTACTAATTTTGCCACCTTACTTTACCCTGCTAAACTACTGTAGCCCTACTTTACTTCAGTCTTAGCCAGTGTTTTGCCAGAGCGGTCCGGATGAGAATTTTTCCGGTCCGGTCCGGACCAAAAAGGTCAGGTCCGGTCTGGAAAATTTTTTTTTATTTTTAAAAAGAGCCAGGAGCGCTAAAATTGCTTTCTTTACGTTTAAAAACTCTTAAAAATATGTTTTATTTGCAATTTTTAAAACAGTTTTATTAAAATAAAAAAAAAATTTTTTTCCGAGCCGGTCCGGAACTTTTTTTTCGGTCCGGACCGGACGGGTCCGGCAAAACACTGGTCTTAGCAATGTTTTCTTCTAGCCAGTGTTTTGCTCGGACTGGTCCTGAGTGTTTTTTATCGGTCCGGTCTAAACTTGAGTTTTTTTGGGCTCGGCCCAGTCTAAACCCAAAATTTTTTGGTCCGGCTCGGTCCGGTCTGCATAAAAATTTTTTGAGTCCGTCCGGTCCGGCAAAATATTGGCTAGAGCAAAACATCAAAGTATACTCCCGTTGCTTCTAAAACTGTCATGCCCATCTTAAGCATCTGTTCTTTATGACCTTAAAGATTTGCAAATACAGTTATCAGTTTTAAAAATAACCTACGATAACAAGAAAATGAAGGATTCTTGGAAGATTTGCAGTGTAGGAGAACGTCAAATCCGACATTTCTGAGTGGGTTATCTTGGGAAGGGGATTAGAAAAGCTAGGATAAGATTAAAAATGACTTTTTATATTTAGCTTGCAAAATGTTTTTGGGGGTGTTAACCTTGCCTTAGTCTCAGCCAGGGCCGGGCGCGAGGGGGGGGGGCGAGGGGGGGGGGTACCCCCAGAAAAAAAATTTTTTGAAAAAAGTTGAACGTGGTCCCCCCTGTGGATTTTCGGGATGAAAATTTTGCAAAAAATCGGCACAGGTAGCTAGCTACCTGTGCCGATTTTTTGAACCCCTGCCCCCAGACCAAAAGTCCCCGCCCGGCCCTGGTCTCAGCCTAGGCTTTCCCTAGTTCTAACGTTAGCTTTAGTCTTAAACCTAACTTTACTTGACCGCATTGCCTTGGCTTATGCCCAGCCTTAGCTTGGCTTATGCTCTGCCCTGCCTTAGTTTGATTTATGCTCTGCCCTGCCCTAGCTTGGCTTATGCTCTGCCCTGCCTTAGTTTGGCTTATGCTCTACCCTGCCCTAGCTTGGCTTATGCTTTACCCTGCTTTAGCTCAGGCCATGGCTTTAGACTGAAAGACTTATAGACTTAGACCATAGCTTCAGCCTTAGCCTAGCCCTCAAAATTGTCAATCATAACCAACAAAACCTTTTACAAAATTAACCGTGACCTTGACTGCGACCCTTGAAATCCGTAATTATGACAGTTGCGCCATAGTTTTGGTCGACTTTTTGGCTTATTAGCATTCGGATATTGAGATTTCTCACTGCGGGAATGCTAATTATGGGAATGTTTATATAGCAATGTTTGCATAATTTGTTTTATATAAAGTATAAATGCATATTGTATATAAAACTATGGCGATTTTACTGTGGTTGAAGTCATAATCTACTGTTATATATAACTATGGCAGTTTTACTGTGATCTAAGTTACAGTAAACTGAGCCTTTTATAAGGTGCCGACCCAAAGAACCCGCCATTTTTTACAAGAAACTACAGGAAAAGTATGGCGGGTTCTTTATGTCGGCACCTTATATTTTATATTGACAATGTTTTAAACGGTCTATGTTCAACCCTAATGGACAGTAAGTGACCCGTTCTTTTTGGTTCATCCTAATATTAGGCTGAACCAAAAGAAGCGGAACACTTTTTGTTTGAATCAAAAGACGCCAAAAGTTCTGTTACAAAACTTTACCGGTCGTTTTCTCTATGTAGATGAAAAATGAGGCAAAACTGTTTCAGTAACTTTGGTTCAACCTAATATACGCTAAGCATATATGTTTCTTTGTCATTTTTACGCTTTGTAACAGAACTTCAGAACTTGATTTCTGTATAAAATTTTATAAAAAATGTCATTTTTTTAAATATGTTATTTTTAAAAAATAATGCCATTTTCAGATCGAATCCGACCTAACATTCAAAGCCGAAGCCATTCAGCCCGGAGTTCAGTACAAATTCATGGCCACAGTAATCGCGGCCAACGGTAAAATTGGCTCAGGAGTGGTCAGTGAATGGCTTGAAGTACCGGCTTTGGGCACCTTACCATCTGCTTTTGGTAAGTACTATTTTATCAAATGTGTACCAATTTGCGTACCAAACTATCAAATATCTTGTTATACCTTAAATTTTGAAAACATGCCCCAGGGCCAAGTTTTGAAAACATGCCCTCCGGGCACAATTTTGAAAACAAGCCTTCAGGGCCAAATTTTAAAAACAAGCCTTCAAAACCAAATTCTTAAAAATTTTAAGCGTTTTCTCTCATCCGTACTGACCGCTAGGCCTAATTTGCATACCAAACGATTTAAATCCGTTTCGGAAGCGGGTAGATGGGTAATATTCGGGGGGATGATTATTACGTTCGACTGAGTATTTGGACAACCATTAAGATGCACTGCGCGGTAAAACATGCAAAACCTCGGGCTAAATCATGCATAAAGCTATGACTAACAACTTTGTAAATAAGAGGAGTAGGGCGGGAGGGAGGGGGGGGAGAGACAAATTTTTTTTTAATTTTTGAAATTCAAATTTTTAACAATAATAAAATTTTTTTTGTTTTTTTTGCCTCGACTATCGATTTCACTTCTCTGTGTCAAAAAGTGTTGTCGCAATTTTCCACTGGCTTTAACCATAAAAACGACAAGACTTTTTAACTTTAAAATTTTTCAAAATTTTAAAATTAAATTTCCAGGTATCCCCTTAACAATTACACCTCAATACAACTCTGATGACAATGTGAGTGCCGTGATCAGCTTCAAACAGCCTCAGGCTGATCCAACCAAGCACAATCGTCATCATCGTCACACCTTGGGCTCTACCTGTTCTTATCAATTACGGTATGCCAATGTGACCAAGGACATCTTTGTTCGAAACTTCGAAATGGACGAAAGCGAAGGAATTTTGTTGACAAATCTGGCCTTCAACACTGGTTACAGTATCGAACTGGTTGCTGTGCCTACTCAAAGTGGGAGCTTGGACATTGGTACTGGTAGTGATATTGGTACACATAACGGCTTGGGTACAAACCATAACATGGGCATACTGACTGATATGGGTGTACCATCAACTGGACTAACTAGCCAACTAGCTGGCACTCCTCAATTTTACAGTAATCATCCAAAATCGAGCCACAAAGCTGATTCATCGGCTGAAAATTTGAAAAAATCAGCCTATTCCGACTTCAAAACCATCAGTTGTACCGATATTTTTGGTGCAGGTAGTCTACAATGTGAACCAGAGCCAGTTAAAGACCTACAAGTTAAGGTGAATATTGAAAATGGCACAGCTACAGTAACCTGGCGACCCTCGGCCGAACAACGACATGTCTTACTGTATGAGCTACGGTATGTGCCGTTAAGTGAGAGGAACAAGTGCGGAATTAGAGAGACTACTCTGTATTTGACTGCTGTAAGTGTAGATTTTGAAATTTTAAAAAATTTTTGAAATTTGTGAAACAGTCCGATGAACTTTTGTGCCAAGTTTTTTTTAATTTTGAGTTTTCAAGATTTAAAATGCTTCAAAATGTAATTATTACTCATTTTCAGAAGACCAACACAGCCGAAATCCCCTTATCCGGAGCCTTCAGGTGTGAAGTTGAGGTAGAGTTGACCAACTTTGACCTTCGCGGCCGAGACGCCAAGACCAGTACCACCTTTACCTATGAGCCATCGCCAGAGCTCACTCTTATGAATACGATCGACGAGACCAAGGCCAAGATACTGCGCAACCTTTGGTTAATCATTTTGGTGCCAGTTGTGCTGATTTGCATTATGGTGCTGATGGTACGCTTCGCGCACTTGGGTCAGAGGAAGTTGAAACAAGTGGCGGAGAAGAATCGAGAAAAGTTCTCACAACCAGTTGAAGTGTAATTTTCTAATTTGGTACTATTTAGTACGATGGTAAATACTATTTAGTACTAAAGTAATATTTGGTACTATGGTACTATTTTGTACTTGATACAATTTAGCATTGTGGTATTAATTAGCACTATACTACTATTTTGTATTATGGCACTAATTTGTACGATGGTATTATTTATTACTATGATGCTATTTAGTACTATAATACTATTTAGAACTATAATACTATTTAGTACCAAAGTATTGTTTAGTATTACAATACTTTGCAATACCGTAGTACGTTTTTGTATTAGAGTACTATGGTACTATTTAGTACCATAATACTATTTAGTACCAAAATACTATTTAGTACCAAAAACACCTCTACAATTGTACTACTTACCCTTCAATAGGTCTTTACGGGAAAACTTTCTAGTCTGTACCAACGGTACCACTGGTGCTCAACCTCGAATCTCGGTGTTCAAACTTCTATTTTCACCTCGAATTTAATGTAAAATTGTGCCTTAACTATTGTACTATATCATCCTCTACCTTGATCTCATTTTATTTTTACTCGTACTGTAATTTTGAGAGCAGTATTGTACATTAACGAACTTTTATATTATTATATAATAATGGTTTTACTATCGAACGATTTTTAATTATGTGTAAATAAATGTTTATTTTATGTACTAGCCTACTAAACATTGGTTTTTTGTTTCAATGATGTTTATTGTTTAATAGCAAGAGATAACGATGTAAAAATGAAAGATATTTGTAGATTTTAGAAAAACAATTTTAAAACTTACAAGACAACATTAAATTGTAAAATAAAGAAAAATCTGTTAAGGAAAAGTTGAAGAACCCATATTATTGTAGACGTAGTATTAATGCTATGACAGTGGTACATGATCCTAGTAAGATACTATGATACTATGTGATATTTTATAAATGTATGGTAGCATTTAAACCGTAAGAATACTTCTTGAAACTTCAAAGTAATGTAAATTTCATTTGAGAGAGTGTTGTACAGCAATTGGTCGTCCGCCTTTTCCACTTTCAATCAAGTTGTTAATGACAATGAAGATGGCCAAAAAGTGACAAAAGTTGACAAATATCATGGCACATCGATACATTGTAAATTGGAACATTCGACGAACATTCTCTCTGAAAAATGAAATTATTTATATTGTTTTAAGCAGGTAATCCAACATATAATTTTTAGTTTGTTGAAAGCCAGGCTACAAAAGGTCGGATTAGGCTACGATAAGAAGATAAGGCAGGGTGAAGGTGAGTTTAAGCTTAAATTTAGAACTAGAGCTAGGACCAAGTCTACAACCAAAGCCAAGATTAGGCTTAAAGCTACGACTAAAATTAAGGCCAGTACTAAAACCAAAATCAAGATTAGGCTTAAGACTAAAGTTACCCTTAAGCATATGACTAGGGCAATGCTAGAGCAAGACTAGGACAAGGCCAGTGCAAAGGCCAAGGCAACGGCAACATCTAAAGCTAAATTTAGGGCTAGGGCTCTGAGTTAGGACTTTGGGCTAGGGCTCTGGGCTAGGGCTCTGGGCTAAGACTCTGAGCTAGAGATCTGGATTAGGGCTCTGGGCTAGGGCCCTAGGCTAAGACATTGAGCTAGGGCTCTGAGCTAGGGCTATAGGCTAGGGCTCTGGACTAGGGCTAGGTTAAAAAACTATTTCACTATAAAAACTTACTGTCGTTCATGTTTAGGATTACAAATTAGGAACGGCCAGAAGAACCTCAATTTAGTGAATTTAACGATTCCCCAACTGAGTGTGATCAACTTGATCCACGAAGCGATATGTACTGGATTGGCTAGTGATAACCTCGGCTCAGTAGTGAATAGTACATATAACAGTGATGGTAATGGCACCTCTTCACAACATAGTACCATTGATTTAGCTAGTCGTGCAAAAAAGACATCTTCTTCATCGTGCTTCAACGTTAAACACACATCCACCATCTCGAACACGTACACCAACATTGAGACGCCGGTGAAGAAGAAATAGCCATAGGCACAGTTTCGCGCGGTTTCGGTTTGAAAATTGTTCAGGAATTCGGCTAGCCTAAATTTTAATTTGGAGATATTTTTTATTTTACAGCGTGGAGGAGGGAAATATTTTTTTTTCACCCCCTCCCCACCAAAATAAAAATATTTTTTTACCACCCCCTTCCCAAATAAAAAAAATTTAACGTCTTTCATCTCCTTCTCCGAACCCATCTAAACCTATAAAGCAGGCGGGCCGCGCTTAATTTTGTTGTTTTACTCTTTTTGGTAGTGAAATCTTTCGTTGCGAGACCTAAGTTAGCCTCCTGCGGTCTTCATTTAGGCCGGGCCTTCAATTTGCTTTTATTCTCTCGGGCCGGAGGGTTAGTGAGCCTTCTATTAGATCTATCCACATCTCATTTTTTAAAATTTTTTTAAAAAAAAATTTACCCCACCCTCTCTTACAACACCCTCGCCATTACCCCTTTTCTCTAAATGTACACTAACGCAACTCAAAAAACGAGTAGCATGTATCTTTAATTATAGTTTCATTATAATAGTTATTTTAATGCTTTCATACCTACTACACAACAAAAAGTCGGCCAACAAATCCAAGGTTGAAGCGAATAACGTGATCACGGCGACGACACGAACTGGCGGTGCCCATTCTAACTGGTTACTGAAATGTAAATCGATTACATAACTTTAATTTATACTTAGGATTTGAAACTTTACTTTACTTTTATAATACTTTTTACAAAACTAAAACAAGCCAAAGTAATCTAGTTTTGTTTTACCTTTTTGTATCACCCAATGAATATCGTCTGTCCAACAAAAATTGACCCGAATCGGAACGTTTTGATTTAAAAAACGGTCGCATTACTGACCGTTATTTACTACAAAATTTATGTTTTTACTATACAAAGTTTACAATAGGCAACGTTAACACGCTTGTCGAGTAAGACATAGCATAAAGATAGAATGATAGGTAATATTATGGAGAAAAGAATGAAGAAAAGTAGGATAAAGCTACGGTTAGGCTAAAGATAAAATTAGAAAAAAAACTGGAGTAACGTAGATTAAAGCTAGATTCTGGTATAGGAAAGTAAGATTGAGTAAAATAGGGTAAGATAGAGTAGGATAGTAGGGTAAGTTAGCTCTACAAAAGCTCAAAAAAATAAAAAAATTTAAACCATTGTTTGATCAATCTCAGCCGGCAAGCATAGCCTGAAAAGACTAAGGCTAGGGCTAAAGTACAAAATTCTGAATCATTTTAAAAAAATATTGATCAAATGGCCATTTTGAAGCCCTGTTTCAAACAAAAAAACTATGAAAAGTGGTCATTTTGAGTCGAAAAAAACATAAATTTACGACAAGATCAGCTGTTTCGACCACTCTTTTCCATTTTACGTGAAGTTTAAAAAACCAAAAAATCATGACATTTTAAATCTTTTTAAAATTTCATTTTTAAATTAAAAATATAAAAAGGTTACTAAATTCGTAAAATAAAACATTTTCAAAAACCTCCGCCAACCCTTTGGCAATAATGTCGGAATGGACAAAGGAACAAAATTTGATGGAGAATGATTTAGAATGGGTTTGAGAACCGTTTTAATGACCACTTCGGCCAAAAAATGTTGGGGACGGTCGTAAAACTAAATAAAAACGCATTTTTTCAGTAATTTTTTTAATTTTTTAAAATTTTTTGTACTAATCATCAAAGATTGGGAGCTCTAGAAGCAAGTCTAACATATAATACTGCACCAGTAAAAGTAAAGGTGAGGTAAGTTTAGGTTAAGGTTGAAGTAGGGCCATTACGGTAAGAAAAATGTAAAGCTGTTGCTAAATTCGATCCCCCCCCCCCCCCTACAAGCAAAACTTTTAGCATTAAGTGATAGGGCGGTGGAAAGTAGTTTTTGTTTGTTTTAAGTAGTATCATTGACTAGACAAATAGCCTTAAAATAGTGATCTTTGAAAGTTAAAAATGCGTTTTTTTTAATTTATAAACGACCTTTTGTTTGTTGGTCTTTAAAGTTTACAAACAAGCGGATTAAAAGCCGATTTATTAGTAAAAAATGGCCAAAAAATATAGCTTTTTTTCAAGATTTTACAAACTCTACCGCCCTACCCTTACTTTATCTTACTTTACTCTATTTTAACGTACATTACTCTTTTATATCCTAAACTATTATACCCTTCTCTTTATCCTAGACTATCATTACTCGCACTCTCCTTCAAGCAATTTTATCGTATCCAAGCTCAACGATATTAATCGTGCCGTGCCTGACTATGCCCTGTTACTATCTTTACTATATGTTTTTTTTGTTTTACTACATATTATTTTGACTCTACTACCACTATACAGATTTAATATTAATTTTTAAACTTACTCTTGAATATTAAACTCAAATTCAGTTTGAATTACCATGTTTTAGAAAGAAATATATTGTTTTACTATACTGTAGTTAAAAATAGTGCTAAAATGTCCGTGGTACTGGACTAATATGACGCTAAAATGCTTCTGATCCTATGCCAAATAGCCTAGTATTATATTTAAATGCTTCTGGTAGTAAGCCAACTAGCCTAGTTGACACAAAAATGTATATTGTACTAAAACAATGTTGCTAAAATCTATAACATTAGACCAATATTAGATAGATCAAAACAAAGTTCAATTTGTTTTGAACAAAATATGAAATTTCCTTCAAAAATACTCAAAACAAAGTTTGAACCGCCAATTTAAATTGAATTTTTGTCAAGATCATGGGCAAAATAATTGACTCCAGATGTTGCGGCTTCAAAGAACATTATCCAAAGCCAAAATTTGTTTTAGACTAGACTTTTTAACTGCTTTTTAATTTTTTGTCATACAAACTGCCATGATTCATAAAAAACTACTTTTCTTACTTTAAGCTAGCCTGCCGAGCTTAACTTATATCAAAATTTGAAAAACTGTTATCTCATTCGTAGCCTAATTTTATACTTTTAAAATAAATCCAAAAAAGTCCTAATTTACCCCACTCAACAACTTTTTATGACCATTTATACACCACTTACGCAGGTCCATTTGGGTCGTCGAAGATCAGCCGTCGTCCAATGGAAGGCGACCTGTCCCGCCGCCTAGGCAATTTTAGTGAGACTGTCATGTGCCCAAAACTTGAAATGTGACAGAATTAATCAACAAGACTCTATATGGTCGTCTGAAATTAGATTTGGTGTCGTATTTGCCTTTTGATGCAGTTGGGACCAAATTGAAGGCGTTGGGGCCCCGTTTGAGAGATTGCTGAAATTAGCAATTTTACGACATTTTTAATCATATCTAAGGTTATAAAGGTAGTAGAAAAGTAAAAACACGTATATTATGATAATATATGTGTGTTTATCCACCTGGTATAAAACGAAATGACAGTTTTTGTTAAATACAACAGTTACATACAATTAGAAATGGTCATGCAAGGCATTTTTTAAGCGTTTTTTAAGAAAAATTAACCAATTTTTTTCATTTTTAATTGTTTCTGCCATTTTAGAAGTAGACTAAGTGGTATAAATACGTTTGTCAGATTATTAGGAGTCGTTTTATTAAGGTAGTATAACAAATAATGGCAGTTTTTCTAAGATTCGGCCGGTAAAATCAATAAAAGATATAAAATATAACCCATATATTCTGTTTACTTTTAGGACGTATGCAGTAACAAAATTAACATTTTATTACTGTAAAGATACTGTAGTTTCAATTGCCGAAAATTTTTAAACCAAACATAATGTTGATAAACAAATGACGTGTTATGTAAAGTACGATTAACTTGGCAAAACGAGTAATTCATCAAAATGTCGGACAGGAACTGTCACACCATCCTGATGAAACGCTTGTCCAACTCGAGAGTTTCGAACGCAAGTTCAAGCAAAAGGTGTTAATGACATTACACTATGGGTGGGACAGGATAGGGTGTGGGTAGAGCAAAGCTAGGGCTGGGTCAGAACTAAAATAGGGCAAGGCAAGGCAGGGCAAGCTTTCTAGCTTTCAGCACGAATTATAGAACTAAGCACAAAGTATACATCCTTAAAGTCTAATGGCTGTAATAAAACTGAACATATTGTTTTTTGACATGTGGATAGGGTCATAAAGCTGCTAAACTAATAGAAAACGGTCAACCTAATATATCTTTTAAAACTAGACTTGGAATAGCAAAATACTTAGTCATAGCCCTAGCTTTAGCCTTAGCCCAAGTGCCTAGCTCAGAGTCTCAGCCCAGCGCTCTAGTTCATTTTTGGAGTCCTGGCTCAGAGTCCTGGCTCAGAAAGCTAGCCCAGAGTTCTAGCGAAAGCTTAAGTTTAAACTTAAGCCTAATTTCCAAACCCAAACTAAGCCTAAGCCTACGCCTACGCCTAAGCCTAAGCCTAAGCCTAAGCTTAAGCCTAAGCTCAAGCCTAAGCCAAATCCTAAGCTTAAGCCTTAGCTCAATCCTAAACTTGAGGTTAATCCCAAAATCCCAACCCCAGTCAAACCAAGCTCAAGGCCAAGCCCAAGCCTAAGGTAAGTCTAAGCCTAAGCCTAAGTTTAAGTCCATGTCTAAGCGTACTTCCCCCCCCTTGTTCTTTTTTTTTCTCCCCGCCGTTCCTAATAACTTAAATTTAAACAATACTCTTTCCTTTCTTCCCTTCATCAAACCTGACCAACCTACTTGACCTATAACTATTGAGCCATAACTTCCTAAACTCATAAAATATATTCAAACCAATTTCAAAACCCCCCCCTCCCCTCCCCCCCATCGATATTATGGTTTTGACAAAAGTTTGGTAATCGAATATGACTCAAAACCCCCCTAGGGAAAAGAACGGCCGATGGGAATGGTGTGGGAGGAGGGCACGGCACATCAGGTGTTTTCCCTAAAGTATAACAATATACGTGAACTCGAATTCGATTAAACGTCAGAAATTAATGCACTTTTGAGTTGTTTAGTGATTGCACTGATTTCAAAGTGATTCGAAATTTAATGTACTTTTTGTTTATAAAAGAATGGCAGTTTTTGCAATTGTAGGCTTATCGGGCTTAGGTTTGGGCGACTAAGAGTAGAGCTTAGTATTCTAAGTTTTAGTAGGCTTAGGTTTAATAAGCGTAGGCTTAGTAAACTTAGTAGGCTTAGGCTTAGTAGGCTCAAGCTAAGTAAGCGTAGGCTTAGGCTTAGTAGTTTTAACCTTAGTAGGTTTGGGCTTAGTAGGCTTAAGCTTAGTAGGCTTAGGCTTAGTAGGCTTAGGCTTAGTAGGCTTAGGCATAGTAGGCTTAGGCTTAGTAGGCTTAGGCTTAGTAGGCTTAGGCTTAGTAGGCTTAGGCTTAGTATGCTTCGGCTTAATAGGCTTAGGCGTAGGCTTAATAGGCTTAGGCTTAGTAGGTTTAGGCTTCGTAGGTTTAGGCTTAGTAGGTTTAGGCTTTGGAGGCTTAGGCTTAGTAGACTTAGGTATAGTAACTAAAACTTACGTCTAGGCTTAAGCCTAGTAGGTTAAAGATATAAACTTAAGTCTGAGCCTTGCTTTTAAGATCGTTCACGTGTTAATCACAAAGTTTTTTTTCCAGCTCATGACCTGAGGGCATAGGACGTTAATTTCCATAGTCTGACAAAAATAGCTTTTGCAGCCGGCTCATTCATAAGTTTGTCGACCTCATCCACCTCCACTTTTGTCCCCCTCTCCCTCTTCTCACTTCAATTTAAAGAGTTTAAGTTCAAGGTACTTTTTTGAAATTTTACCTCTTCTAGCCGTAGCTGCTATATAACTTATATTGTAATAGGTCCGTTTACATTTTAAATAAAGATTTAATAATTTATTCAACAATATGTAGCTACAATCTTTTTAAAAATAGATTAAAAAAGCCTATTACCATGGAATACAAAAATAAAATCTTTAAAATTAAAGGTTTATTTAAAAATGGCATTCTTCATAGTTTATATTCAATTGAAAAATGACGTTTTTAATTTAAACCTAAGTGCAAAATAAGTGGAATTGCAGTATGAGACCCTGAATTGATAAGAGAATAAAGTTGAAAGACATTTTTAAATGATAGGTAACAATTTTAATATAAAATTTTTTGAAAAGTGACAAGTTATACGATGAAACATGTCCGAAAAAAAATTAATTTTTTTTAAAATTTTGTTTAAAAATTTTAAAAAATTGAAAAACATAAAGTTTTAAAAAATTTAAAACTATTCTATACTTTTTGACCGGCTTTACCTAATATTAAGTTGTTTGAAACAAATATTAGCTTGTTCAAAAAAATCTGCGCCGCACAGCCCTGAAAATTCGCTTTGAGAATGGCGCAGAGTTTTTGAACAAGCTATGATTTACACAGTTCGGACGCTAAAAAATGCCATTTTTGATCAAAATACATGAGTAAAACCGTAGAAATTTGAACAAAACCTAATTAAGTATAACAATTAGAAACTTGTGCTTAAAATAAGCCTAATGTTCTACTATAATTTACAGTATATAAGCCTAAAATCAAGCCTTGATCCCAGCATGATGGCACTTCAACAAGTCACTGATCACACTTTGACAAGCCAAATGTTGTAGTCCTAACGAGCCCAGCCCGTCTCGTGGATGACAAAACACTTCACATTGTGGCCCGCTCTTCGCGGCCAAGTTATTGGCCCGACAACATTCACGGTTGTCTTGTTGTTGCGATGCACATTCCAAAAAGGGCGCCACATTCAAGATGCCACACTTTCCCGCATCGAATTGACGTTTTATCTAAAAGTGGCAATGATTATTGGGTAATAAAATATTGGAAAAGACATAATTTAGCATGTTTTACAGTTATAGTTTCTGAAAGCTGTCACTTAAAATATCAAAATTTTTTTTAAATTTGCAAGATTTTCAGTTTATATGCCATTTTTAAATGAAACTGACATTTAAAATAGTCGAAATCAAAAAATATTTAACAAAAACACTAAAAATAACCTTTTATTTCAATTGTATTATGTAACTTTTCAAAAATCTTATTTTTCATGTTTTCGTAGTGAGACCTAACTGGAAAAAATTTTATGTCATAATAAGATTTAAAATAGTTGAAATCAAAAAATATTTTACAAAAACACTAAAAATGATCTCGTCTTACTATGTTATTAAGTATTTTTTCAAAAATTTTGATAATCATGTTTTCGTGATGGTACCCAACTGACAACCATTTTTGATACCATAATGACACATAAAATAGTTAAATTCAAAAAATATATCTTACAAACATTAGAAATAACCTTGTCTTTCAATGCCATCATGTATTTTTAAAAAAAACCTTAATAATCATGTTTTCGTAGTGGGTCCCATTTTCGTTAAAAAAAGTGTATTTTTTCCTTAACTACCAAAAAAAGTATATCTTAAGCACATTCTTTAAGCAAAACATTTCAAAACCCACCTCCTGTTGAGTCGTATCAAATCGACATAACGGTAAGCAGCCATCGGGCATCTTTTTGGCTCGGCAACAGGCTTGCAGCCGGCTGTTGGCTTCTGCCAGTCCAACACATGGTTTGAAGTCCGGAGCTGTACCACACTGTCCCATATGGCCATGTAAAACTGTAGCCAAAGTTGTGGTTGGTACAGTATGATTCGTTACCGTATGACCCAGTGATCCTACAGTATGACCACCAGAACCTCCATTATGACCAAAGGATCCTACAGTATGACCCAAAGAGTCTACAGTACTATGTCCGGTCAAGAAATGCGAGGTTTGTCCAGATCTTTCGGTCGAATTGATTGGTCTGGTCGTAATAGCCTTAGGCCCTTTGCGCGGCCGAATCCCTGTGATATTGGAAATGGCCTCGATAGTACGTTGGGAAAAAAGTGCATCCACCACCACGTTAAACTCTACACCAAGATCAAAATGTTAGTGCAAAAATGTCATAGCTTTAGGTAAAATGTTATAGTTTTAGTTAAAAATGTCATGTTAGCTTTAGTTAAAAATGGCATGACTTTCGTTAGCAAAAAAGCCTTGAAATGTAAAGGCAGCTCAAGTTTAACCAAATATTACAGTAATCTAACAAACGAAAAGCGGCTTACGATTGTTACAGTAAAATGTAGGACAGTCCAAAGTTATCTGACGTAAAATTTCACGTTAAAATGTAAACATTGAAACTGACAAACATAACCTTTTTCAAAAAATTTTAAGAAAATAGCTTAAACTTCGTTAGATCACTTATGTTTGATAAGAAAATACAGTAGTCTAACAAAAGAAAAACGACTTATAAATGTTACAGTAAGAATTAATATAGTCTAAAGTTACTTGATGTAAGATTTCATGTACAAATATTAACATTGAAAATGACAATCAAAACTGTTTTCAAAAATTTGAACGAAAAAAGCCTCAAAACCTCGAGATTTACAATTTTACAACCAAATTGCAGAAGTCAATCGAAAGAAAAACAATTTATTAATGTTACAGTAAGATGTAGGATAGCCTAAAGTTATTTGATGCAAAATTTCAAAAAAAATGTTCACATTTGAAATGACAGTCAAGACTTTTTTCTGAAAATTCATTAAAAATGGCTAAAAAGTTAAAGACCACTTATGTTTGCCATGAAATTACAGTAGTTTAACAAAAGAAAAATGTTCTATCATTGTCACATTAAGATGTAGAATAGTCTTTAGTAATTTGACGTAATATATCAAGCAAAAATGTTAAGATTAGACTAACAAGGAAAGTACCCAACATGCAACTCTCAGAATTAGCTCAAAATTTTTATACGGATTCTTTGTAGTACCAGTAGCACATATAAAAAATCTTAGCTTGCGGTTTTAAGTTTTAAATTTACTATATTTAAATTTCCCGCCAATTTAGCAAATTTGGCATAGTGTTGCAAGCACTTTTTTTGATGTTCCAGACAAGATAAACTTACAAATTTAAAATTGCAGGTTCATTTGAAGCTTTTCTATCAACATATTTTAAAAAAATAGTTAAAATTCAAAAAATGAGAAAGTTATAAGCTTGAAACACTACGCCAATTTGGCGGGGAATTTAAAACGCGATTTTTGATCTCGTTTTTCTCAACTCTCAAACCGCGACTTAGAAGTTTGCAAAAGATCTTACATTTACATGTTCTTTCAATTAAAAAATTTTGAACGAAATCTGAGCGTTGCAGGTCGGGTACCTTCCTTGTAAGTTATTAGCCAAAAAAGCCTACTTTTAACCAAAAATAGCTTTTTTAAGTCATCATTATTAATTTAAAAGCTCAAAACTAGTGCAAATTTAAAAAATTTTAGTTTAAATAGCCTGGACATGTTAAGAAATAACCTTTAAATCTCAACTCACTTCCTTCGCTAAACAATCCACCACCTCCTGGACTAATAGAGTTGTTTTTAGCCACCAAACCACTCGGTTTTGGCGTGCTTTTTCGCTCCGTCAAATCCACGAACTCGTCTTTATCTTCTGGCAATGGCAAGTCCCGCTCACTAAAGGTTTGAACTGAGCTTGGTTTGATTTTGAACGACCATGGAACATGACCATCGGGTTCGGGACGTGTGGTACGAGCGTGAGGTGCGGATGTGACGTGCTCTGGGCGGGAGGCTAAAAAGCGAATTTTAAAGACATAAAATAAAAAATTTTTAAAAATCAACTGTGCAAATTTTAAAAAATTCTTTAAAAAATTCATTTTCTACATGGTCTTATCAAAACATGCACTTTTTTCCGAGTTTTAAATGAGAAAATGGGTTCCACCACGAAAACATAATTTTCGAAATTTCTCAAAAATTAAAAGAAGAAAACAAATACCAATGTCTTTTTTTAGCGTATTTATAAAATATAGCTTGATTTTGACTATTTTAAATAACTCTTTGGCTTAAAAAGGTCCATGATTCCAATCCCACCATAAAAACCTAATTTTTTAATTTTTTAGAAACTGAGATAAGGGAATGAATGCTAATGCTATTAGTAATGTTTTAGGGCACTATAGTTTGATTTTGGCTATTTAAAATGTAACATTGCATTAAAAATGTCTATGCTTTGCGTCTCACCACGAAAACATGATTTTTGAGATTTAAAAAAACTGAAATAAGGGAAAGAAAGTTGAAGCTATTAATAAAGTTTTTTCAAAATATTGTTCAAGTTTGACTATTATAAAAGTTACTATGATTAAAAAATGTCATTTGAGCCAAAATTTCTATTATAATAAGCCTAAAAACAAAAAACTTACCTCCGACCAATATACTCTGTGCAATACCATCTTGAATGCTGCCAAAATGATTCGACGTCGCTAGTTTTTCTATGGTTTGAACTTCTGCATCTTCTCCAAGTTGTACCAGTTCTTCGGTACCACTCGGTGGTACTATTACACCGCTGTTCTTGTTGGTACTGCCAGGTTTTGAGCTCGAATCGCGTCGTTCTGAACTTTTCTGATCTTGACCCTCTACTTTTGCACCGTTGTTCCAAGGTGTGAGTTCTTGACTAGTCCATTCAGAGGTTGGTACAGCTGAAGGTGGCATGGCTGTGTGGCTAGGCCAACTTGTGGGGTTTGTGGGACCAGTAGGACCATTTAAAGCAGCTTCTCCTGTTTGAGCACCAGTTGGAGATGGCGCAGAGTGACCATTTTGTGGTACAGTTTGACCATTAGATCCTATTTTAGTACTAATAGTACCACTTGAATCCACTTGAGCTTCAATAGGACTAGGTTTTCCAACATCAGTACCTGTTGCACCAGTTTCTTCAGCCCAAGATCCACCATGAGAAACCGGCCCAAACTGTGGGATTACTGTAGTTTCAAAGTTTTGGTTAATCAAAGTTGGAAACCCAGTCTGAATAGGACTAGCCGTCACTTCAACTGGTACCATTTGGCCAAAACCAGCACCATTAGGTTTATTTTCCAAACTATGGCCAAATCCACCAGACGATGCATGAATTGATGGTCCACTTGGTCCATTTTCCCCAGTGTGGGGCTTTTGCCAGTTCTGAGACTGTTGGTTCACATGGTCCACTTCAGGTGCGCCAACTGATAACGGACTACCTGCCGGTGGCAAAACCAAACCAGGCGGAGGCTGAGGGTCAGGCTGACGACTCAAGTGACGGTTCAGACCTGATGGTCTCGAATGACCGTCGTGAGGTCCTTGTGATGGTCGAGGTGGAGGTGGTTGGCCCCACAAAGCTGGCGGTGGTTGTTCTGGAGCATCTGGATTGGGGAAAGGTAGTCCAAAACCGGCTGCTTGAGACATTGGAGGCAGTTGGGTAAGGAAGTTGGCCACGAATGCTGTAATTTTAAAAATAGCAGTTTTTTTGAAAAGTCGATAATCTTTGTGACATTTCGTCAAAAAATCGATAACTTTTGTAGAAGTTTGTCATAAAACAAAAAAAATATTAAAAAAAACAATTTTAAAAAATAAATTAATAAAAAATCAATATTGACATTCCGTTCGACTTACGTTTCGGTCGATTGCAAGGCGAATTTTTGCACAATTGTGGACAACTTTCACGTATCCGGCTTGAACAACAATATTGTGAATTGAATCGACGACAATCAAAAGGAGCTCCAGCTATTTGAGCTGATATTAATGTAGGTAACAACAACAAGGTTACTGTAACATGTGACTTCATAACTGAAAATAGGATTATTGTAACCTGGATAGTAAAAAAGTTATTTTAATACTCGAAGTACGAGATATATACTTTACCCTACCCTACCTACCCTACCCTACCCTACCCTACCCATCCCTACCCCACCCTACCCTGCCCTACCCTACCCTATCCTACCCTACCCTACTTGCCCTACAATAAAACCCACAAAAATCGTTCCTCTCCCATATATTATACATTACTCAACATACGACGTGTTATCGCCAAGAATAATACGAAAAAACGCTTACTGAGTAAACAAATCACCTGAAGAAGCTTCAAGCCTTCGGTCTTTATGCAACAAAATTCTGAAGATTCGTTTTTTCGAAAATCAGTTTTCATTTTGAAAATCCGAAAAAAGGCGTCAATTACACGTAAATTCTCGGATTGCGTGACATATTAACGAAGATGGATGTTTTTGAAACTTTTGGAAGATACCATAGTAAAATCTACTTAACCCTCTTATATTTTAAATATTTTAAAACTGTTGCCTGATTTTTAAAAAAATTGAAGAGCTAAGTAAAGCTTATATTATACTACTCGATGCTAGGTATGCACACTTTGACGGTCTGTAACTGCCATATCTTACTTTAACAAAACAAGATTTTTTACAGTATTAAACTACAGATCATACTCTATCAAGAAATAAGTATTATCAAGAAAAACTATATCTGTAAAGAAAGTTATGGCGTTTTACAAATTTACTACCGCTCTTTTTTACCGTTTTTGGCGTCCGCACTTTGAAGGCTCATTACCACTATATCTTAACGTAACAGAAATAAATAATTTACTGTATCAAGGTACAGATAATACTCTACAAGGTAATCTTTCTTTTCAAAAATGACTTTAACTGTAAAGAAAGTTATAACATTTTAATAATTTACCATCATTTAGTTTCTGTTTATATCAAGTACATATTCATATCTGGCGTATTTTACTTTAATAAAACAAAACACTTTACATTATAAAACAACAAAAAAACTACTCTTCAAAATAACCTTTTGTGGCAAAAGGAACTATAACTGTAAAGAAATTTATTGCGCTTTGCGTTTCAACAAAATTAAATCCAATTTTTCACATTTTATGAAAGTGAGGTAAGTTTAAACTTGTATATCTCTATGATAAAGAGACAAAACTTAAACGTATTTTATGTTAAAATATAGCTAAGACATCTTTACTGGAAAGTAAAATTTATAAAGTAAAATATTGATATATTGGGTTTAAATTTAAAAAATGTTGAATATAGGCTATATTTTGAGTAAAAAAGAACATTTTTTCTTTTTTAGACAATTTTTCAAAGTTTTTTCAAATTGAAAAAGTAAAAATTTAAAAAATCAAAAATTTCAGTAAAATTATGGATTGATTACAAAAAATAATGTACCACCCTACTCAACCTCAAATTTACCCATCCCCAAGATCACAAAAAACCCTTCTCCCTTACCCAAAAACCTCCATCAGCCCACCGCTAAAATTCTAATTTATTGAAAAAACCAGTCTATTTGCGATGAAACGTTGATCCCTTGAAGGTAAATCTTCACCTTTTAACTCAGTCGATGAATCACCGACGAAACCGCTTTCTCTTTTGTTCGAAATATTCGCGATGACATTATCGGAACGGAAATGGACGACGCTTTGCAGCTTATTATGTTTATTATGTTTGTTTTATAAAGGTAATTAGGGGGTGAGTCAGAGGGGTGATTTAGAGTTCATTATGTGGTAAAAGAAGGTTTTTTAAATGTCATATTCCGTAAAAAACAAAAGTTGAAGCAGTACCATTTCTTAGCATCTAAAGTACTATTCAAAACTAAATTTATACTCAAACAACAATGGTAAATTGCCATCTATAACATCTTATTTTATCGTGTTTAATCAAAAAAATCACAAATTAAAGATCTTTTACAAAAGTGCAAAAAAAATTCAAAAAAAAATATTTTAAAATTTATCTCATTTCTAAACTTGCGAAGTACTCAACGTAGCACTAGTATAAAGACATGTTTTCGCAAAATATCAACTTATTTCATCAAAAATAGCATAAGTTACATAGCTTTTACCAAAATGCTTCCTAAGATTTTAAAAAGTGAAAGTTGAAATAAAATAGTATCATTACTCAACATCTATAGTACTAAGCCAAACAAAACTTATACACAAGTAATAGTGTTATATTAAAATGCTTTTCACAAAATGTCAGCTAATTTGATTAAAAATGGCACAAGTTATAGCTGTTTTTCTAAAGGGTAATCCATATTTTAAAAAGGTAATACAAAGACTCTAATTATATATTAATTCCTCGAACTAATATTTAGCCATGCCAACTTTAAAAACGCTAAAATATGTCCTCGAACGACAACTGTGACCACAAAGAGTAAATAAAAATATTATAATTTACCTTTGTGCAGATTAAAATAATCGTAAAGTGGCGTAAGACCTTTTCTAATCTCGGATCTCGCTGTTTTTCGGTTTGAAAAGCGAAAATTTCAATGTCACAGGGAAAATAGAATATTATAATTTATTTTCCACTGTCGTTGCGGCAAAAATGTCGCTGTTCAGGTTCAGAAAAACAATTTTTTTAAAAATATTTTTGAAGAATTTGAGTTTTGAAGAAAATTAAAGCTAATGTTTTTAAAATGATCTGTAACTTTTGATTTGATAAGTGGAATTTGATAAAAATTTGCATAGTTATTACTAATAGTATGCTTAAAAGCTACTGTAAGTCTTGTACGTATATCTTTATCAGTTCAACAGTTCTCGCACGTTTTAGAAGGTAAGCTCAATTTTAGTCAAAAAAAACCATTTGGGTACTGTAACTTTTGATTAAACAGTTAAAATACAATTCAAATTGGCATGAACATTAACATTACTATTTTTAACAAGTGCTGTTAGTTATACGAACATAACATAGGCTAACCAAAAGTTCTCGATTTTTTTAGGCACAAAAAGAGACTTTGGCTGGCAAACTTCGGATTACTGTAACTTTTATACAACGCATTTAAAATAAAGAAAATTGTAGATGAACAATACTCATACTTTTTATTCAACGCTTCAAAACTAGCATTGTTAGCAAAAGTAGCAAAAAAGTTACTTCAACTTTAAAAAATAGGTCGAAATATCAAGTATAAGGTCATATTTAAAGTAATGTATCTTTTTTATGAAACAACTTAAAACTGTAAGAATGAAACATTATGTTCCTCTTTCTATTGTTAATTTACTTGCCAAAAATTGTACCATTGCACTAATTACTTCAAGAGTTATGACATCTTTTTGTCAGCTACCCCAATTTCTATTGTTTTTTCAAAAAATTTGCCGATTTGACTTATTTTAGGCCCAAAAACTGTCAAATAAGGTAAATTAAAGGCCAAAAACTCTCAAAAACTACAAAACTTATTTCAATGACAATACTTTATGACAGTTTATTCAAACCCAAATTAAAGTCGAGAGTCGGTAGACGCTTCAGTAGGTACAGCGATGGTAAAACTCGCTTTTCAGCGCACTGACCCACAAGTTTTAATTGCTTGCGGTCACAAAATGACAAGGGTTTTTACAGTATTTTTTGTATTTTAACAGTATTTTAATGCTGACATACTATCTAGTATCAACAAGGCCGTTCCACAGACTTTTTCTGAGATTAGAACCCAAAAAAGTCCACCGCCATTGACCTACTCTCCTCTCTACCGTCATTCCTGAGTATCAAAGATCAATAACAATATGCCTCAACCATATATTTCGAGTTCCAAAGCTGGTGAACAAACAAATATGCATTAAAATTAGTTAATTTCGTATTTCGTGCCATTTACGTTTATTCTCCGGGCAGTTTGGAGCGGCTGACGGTGCGTTGCCTGAGGCTACGGCGTGGCGATTGAGTGGGGGTGTAGAGGTCGGGCATGTTGTTCGGGTCCAGCAGGTGTTTCGAGTCTGGGGCTGGAAATTTGAGAAATTATTATAGTTTGAAATTTTTAAAAATATTTAAATAAAAAATTATTTTCCACATCAAAATTTTTAAAAAATTTTACCCCCACTTCCCCCCCCTCCTCAAAAAAAATTACCCGGCCCGGATTTATATTTTTCTATCATCCAAAATACGGCAATTTGTTTATTTTTACCCCGCCCCACCCCCTCAAGTGAAAAATTTACCCCGCCCAGCCTTACCTTATATTTCTTTTAACCCCCTGTTACACAGAATCAAAAAAAATGTACCGCCATCCCATTAAAAACTCATTTACCCCGCCCACTCGTCATTTACCCCGCCCATCCTTAATTTACCACACCCACCCTTACCCTTTCTTTTAGCCGCCCTTCTACCCAGAATTGATGGTGAATTGTATTGTTGATCCTCCTCCTCCTCCTGTATCGTTCTGATCTCAAACTGTTGTTGTTCCATGTGCACGCGTTGATGGTATTGTCTCCCTTCATGTTGTACTACCTCTTCATGGTCGTACTGTTCGTAGGTTTGGCGAATCGGTCTGCCTCGGGGCGGGTATGGTTGTTGCACTTGGATGGTTTGTGAGGTGGATGGGCCCAAATCATCATAGCGATCGTAATAGTCCAGGTTCTGCATGGCTTCGTCCTCCATCATCAAGATCACGTCCTCACCGTCGTGAACTTGCAGCTGGCCGCTGGCGATCATTTCCTGTACCATTTCGTCTTTGGTGATGTCACGACCTTGGCCGTCTAGTACACGACCGGCAGTGGTTGGTACTGGTGGTGGGGGTTCGGACTCGGGTTCGGGCTCAAGTTGGGGCGGTTGTTCGGGTTGAGCCGCCTCGACGTGAACCTCGTCGTCGAGGTTGAGTTTGACACGTTGTGAGGTGCGTCGTGTGGTACGGCGGAGTGGTTGAGTGGGTGCATCTACCTCCTTCTCCACTTCTTCGGCCGTTGCTACCGCAACGTCTTTGTCCACGAACTCTTCGTTGTGGCGCATCCTCATGTGTAGTGATATGGCAGTGCGACCGTAGAAGACGACTTGGCAGTGGGGGCATCTGGAATCAAATTTTTGTAATTGAAAAAAAAATTGTCTAATCTCTCTTTTGTACAAAATATAAAAAAATCTAAAAAAAAATTTGCCAACCCCCCCCACAAACAATTACCCCGCCTACGAAAAAAAATCAGTTTCTCCTAGCCTCTCTTCTACGCATACCTCAAAAAAAATTTTTTATTATTCTTACTAGACCTCCCCCTCCACCTCAATAAATTCCCACCCCCTCCCCCCCCTTAACAATTAACGTAAAAGACCCACTTGTATCCATGAGGTAATCCAGTCCGCTGGGGTTGAAAGTTTTGCGGAGCAATCCTCTGAACGGTCGGTTTCGAAGTCGTAGCCGATGGCTCCTGATTCTCGACGTTCTCCGTTATCATCTGCATTCCAGCCAGCATCTCCTTGTGGATCAGTGAGTCCGTCTGGAGGGGTTGTTGTTGTTGGGTATTCTGGGGGAGGGTGGGTTGACGTTGGGAGAGGTTTCGGACCAGTTTCCTCAATGAAGTGGCGTCGATTTGTTCACGGACGTCTCGGTCGATGAAGGCCTTCGTGTAGACGCAGCTACGACGGTAATGGTAGAGGAGGTTGTAGTCGTATTTGAAGCGATTACCACATAGGACACAGTGGTGGCTGCCGTTGGAAGCATGGTAGCCGGCCATGTGACGCTCGAGGCGACCCATGTTCATGAAGGTTCTGAAAAGAAGTGAATTGTTACCCAAATTATCAAAAAATCTTTTGCTCCATTTGTTACCTAAATAGTTCATTTTTTACTACTTTGTTACCTTAAATACCCAAAATAATCAATTTTAGCATTTTTTGTTACCTAAAATACAAAAAAAATCAATTTTGCTATATTTGTCACCTAAAATCTTTAAAAATTTTATTTTTTGAATACCTTGTTACTTAAAATTCAAAAAACCTTACTTGAAGCACTCCGGACACTGAACCATATCTCCATTGATAGACCATTTGGGCTGTGTTAGCGTGTTGAACATTCGTTGATGCCTTAGTTGTGTGTCGCTGAGATCATCGGCAAATACAATTCCCTAAAATGAAAAACTAACGTCCAACGTATTTTACATTATTAACCAATTTTTTATACTGTTAGGTAACAAAAGTACCATTTCTTGTAATTTTAGGTAGCAAAACCCCTATTTCTAAACATTTGAAGTAACAAAACCAAAAATTTTTGTAATTTTAGGTAAAAAAACCTTATTTCTTATCATTTTAGGTAACAAAACCGCCATTTTTTACTATTTTAGGTAACAAAAGTACCGTTTTTTGTCATCTTAGGTGACAAAATCACGATTACTTATCATTTTAGGTAACAAAAATCCTATTTCTGATAATTTTAGGTAACAAAAGTACCATTTATTGCCATTTTAGGTAACAAAAGGCAATTTCTTACTGTTTTAGGTAACAAAACTACTATTTCTTATCATTTTAGGTAACAAAATCACTATTTTTAGTCATTTTAAGTAAAAAAACCAAATCAACCTACATGATCAGCGATCCATTTCTGATCGAACAGTCGATTCTTAGAGTCCTGTTCTTCTTCGTCCAACACATTTTCATCTGAGATCGGATTCCCACTCAAGTCAACATTCAAATCAGCGGTTAGCGAGTCCAAAACCCTGGCACGGTCTTCAGTTTTAGTGATCGGGGGTGGATCAAGATTCATATCATTGTTGGAAGAAGGGTCGGCACCATCAATGAAGGTCTTCTTGAGAATGTCACAGACCATGGCTTTGAGGTCGGTATCGTCCATCTGGATGTCATTCTCGTCTGGCAGATTAGCTTGGATTTCGGAACAGTTGGCACGCCAATGCTTGTACAGGTTCTCACGATGACGGAAGATGAGACCACAGAGGTCGCAGAAGTGGCCACCACCGACCTGAAGTTGAGGGATTTGTTATTATGATGCCTAAGGTCATTATTGAAGTTTTAAAAAGTCTTGTCGTCTTTCACAATATAAAACAATAATAAAAAACAACAAAACTTTATTTTCAGTTTGTTTTCGCGTATAAGCTGTCAAAAAAAGTTTTGTCGTTTTTCCCAATACAAAACAATGTTAAAAAAAGACAAAACTTTTTTACGCCCCCTGATAGCCCGTTTTAATCAATTTAACCGCCTTTAGACCACATTATATTTCTTCCTCTTCTCAAACTCCTTACCGAAGGCTGATCCACCTCGACCTGACCTCGATGTGCGGCGAAATGGCGTGGTAAATGAGCAGCCAACACCGTAACCCCACAGCCTTTGCACATTACTCCTCGTTTGCCGTACATATGAGCCCTAGCCTCAATTGGTGGGTTAATACCCAAATTCCTCAGCAATGGCTGATTCGAAATGCCAAACTCAATCGACCCAACGTCCGCCTTCTTCGAGGCTACACTCTCGACCACCTCGCGTAGCGTGTTCACGTCCATGCACTTGCGTGTGTCCTCGGAGATAAGCTCACTCAAGTCGCGACAAGTCTTTCTCCAATGGTAGAACAGGTTGTATTCGTACTTGTATGTCTTTCCACATAATTGGCAGAGGAAGGCGCCAAAAATCTGAAATGTCATTTTTATATTACACTTGGCTATAAATTCTTTTGAATTAAATTGTTACCTAAAATTATATTTTTATTAAAAAAATATTTTTATTTTTAAAAATCATTTTATATCGTATTTTAGTCATTCATTCCGCTTTCATGATATACACCAACTTTTAACATTTTCTAGCTGCGCCCTTATTGCACAGGCTGCACAGGTCCAAAAACGTATAAACAAGGCAGTTGGCCCAAATTTTTTATATTTGTGGCCATAAAGTATATAGAATGTTTAAAAAATAAAACTTTTTTCAATTCCTTTCAATAGAATTTTAACTTTTCTACCTATATAGACCAATGTTCATATAACCCTATACTACAACATAACTCCCTACCTGATGGACACTCAAATGCCTCTCCAACCTCGCCGTATTAATAAACGTCTGCCCACATTCCGGACATCTCGCCTGACCATAAACCCGGTTCCTTCTGCCCTTATTGTAGCTGTCCATCTGATTCATCATGTACATGTGACCATCACCTTGTTCATGCTCCATTTCGTAGTCGTATGGATCGTTGTTCATCTTCTGACCATCCTGCGACAAGCCCACGTCTCCATCGTTTTGAAATATCACAGTTTCTGTGCCATCTTCGTTCACCACGACTTGAATTTTGCTCACGCCTTCTATGTCAACATCAGGTGCGTTGTTGTCGGTTACTAGGTAGAATTCACCATTCTCACCACACGCCACTTCCCCAACTATCTCTTCGTACATCTCATCGTCTGCTAGCTGCAAGTTGGATAGTTACAGAGAGGTTTTTGGCAAGTATTCGTGATATTGACCTTGTTTTAGGTTAAAACTGACTTTTTTGATCGTAACTTTTAAAAAAGTAATTTGAATGTTTTCAAAATTTGTCAGAATATTCATTAGAATACCGTGAAACAATCACAAAAGCATTGAAACCTCTAATAATAAAGAATTATTGTTTTAGATAAGCCTATATTACGTTAGGTGGAACATGACAGTTTTGGTCATAACTTCTTCCAATACTCTTGAAATCGACTCAAATATTGTTGTAAGATCTTCAAGAACCTAAATAAACCACAAAAAAAAACCAACGCTTACCGTGTCATTATCTTGCAATTCCAAAAGTTGTTCATCGCCTTCAACTAGCTCAGCTAAAACAATATAAATTAATACTCAAAAGCGCTTCAATTAGTATCTAAATTACTTTCAAAAGATTCTGTAAACTCTTCTGCACATTTTGACTACAAACTTTAGTACCTTAACTTCCAAAAAGATATGAATATAAACGATTCCAATTATATTACACTTACTTGCATGTTGAGGTTGTTCTCCAGCTTGTTCTGGCTCTAATTCTGGCGCCAGCTCCGGACCGGCTTCTGGATTCCGGACTTCTGTCATCGTAACAATTTTTTCTTATGCTGCTACACAGATTCTAATTAGTTAAACTACTGAAATTTGAATATTAACCTTCTTGAGTGGCTGATTTCAAGTGTAACATCGAAATGTAATGAAATCTGGTACCATAGCGTAGATTTAGGCATTGTGGTTAATAAAAAAGATTGGTAAAGATATAGAGGTCATTTTTCGTTAATTTAAAAACAGTTAAAAGAGTAAAAAGACAGTTTTAAATCGATTTCCCCTTAAAAACCTATAAATTTAAGTTTTAAAAATTGAAAAGTAATCAAATTCAAATCCCTGGAGCATTTCGGCACGATTGCCTGAATTACAGGTTGAAGCGCCTGCATCCACGAGCCCCACAACGAAAACGCCCGAACCCTGACTGATGCCAAGACCCCGAAAAACGACGCGAATGAACGAAATGCCCCAAAAAGCGCGCGCTCTTTGCGAAAGACAGCGTGGAACGCAGAGGGTGGTTAGAGAAATTTATGAAAACAGTGTGGTTTACTTGGTAGGGGCAGAGAAAAGCGAGAGATAGCCGCCGAAAACGAGAGGTTGGCTAGAGAAAGACAACGATAATAAATAAAGAAGAAATAAGCGAGGGCGCAATCTGCCCCCTTTTAATAAGCTTTTTATGTTTTTAGTGAATAAAAACCTTGTTTTTAAACAATTTTATAGTAACTTACTATGCGAAAGATAGTACAATTACTTTCAAATTTTTTTTAAGTATTGTAGGTAACAGTTTGTCATAATTTTTTCGCTTAAAAATGGCAAAAAAGTAGCCTTAGGTCCCACCGAGATTCGAACTCGGGTCGCAGGATTCAAAGTCCTGAGTGCTAACCGCTACACCATGGAACCACAATTCTTTAGGCGTTGGAAATTCGAGCCAATTGTTCGTATTGACCGCGATTTATGTTATCCTTGACTGTTTTAATGTTGTTTTAGATGTTATATTTCATTTTTGGATTTGAATTCTATTTTATATTGTAGTATAGGGTCGTATATTCATTTTTGCTTTGATGTTTCTTAAAATTACGGGTTCAATGCGCGTTCTTATTAGCGAAAGTTTAATGGCTAAGCTTTCCCGACTCTTATAAAACGAATATCTTTCAGATTCTTTATGAATTCAAATTTGACGCCAATAGAGTATTTGGAATCGGATTTCGTTTCGTTTTTGTACTTTTTTCTTTATAACAATCAAAAGTTTCAATCTGATGAGTACAACGATCTTCCCACCAGCTTCTCATGGCGGAAACTAAGTAGTTTGGTGCTGGATTTTGAAAAACAGAATGCTAAATCATTGGAAGGCGCAATATTAGCTTTGGACCAGCAACTGGATTATGTTTCGTACGTTGAGGTGAGTGCTTTGATATTGTTGTTGGTTTTTAGGTATAAACAAGATGGTTGTCAAGGTTAATATGTCGAGTAGAAGCTGGAGACCTTTGTAATTACATTTAATAAGCTTCCTTTTAACAAATTTCAATACAGACTTTAAGCAAATAACTTTTCCATATTACATTACCAACCACTGAATCTATCATCGCCCTTTTGTGCGTAGATCTCGTAAAACTTGATAAAACCAAAAATCCTCTCACAGAATCGTTCAAAAGACATTATTTTAGATCCTGAATCAATTCAAAAGCTACTACACATCAACTAGCGAAGATACGATTAAGTCAAAAGCTCTGTTGGCTATAGCTATAATTGGGTTTGGTCGTATCTACTTGGGATATTACTTTAACTGTAGAAATTTGGAGCATTTGGCAGAACATAACCTTGAGTTCATCTTGGCTTTTACTCGAAAACACATTATGGACCTGTTTCCTAGCGTCGAAGAATGGGTAAGTTTGGGATGATATAAAGATTCAGACGCCTTTGTGGGGGTAGAGAGTGGGTCTTTTCCAAATTTAATCGACCAAGCGACATTTTTTAGTTGGAAGACAGTTACAATAATAATTAGAATACTATTTTAAATTTAAAATTGCTCGAAATTCAGGCCAAATTCAACGAATTTGTGGAGAAGTACGCGGTCGCACCTTATGATAGCATGCTCGACCGGGTTTGTTTAATAATCGATCGGTTGGCGATTCCAATGGCTGGCATTCTGTTCGGATACATCATGTATCGTATAAAGATAGCATAATACGTATAAAACTTTTAAAAACTTGCCAAAAATTAACTTTTTACAACTATATTATACTTGTCTTACCATTAATGGCTAAAACATTTATATTTTTGTCAGATCTCCTTGCACGAGCTTTAAGATATTTTTAGTACCATTTTTATGGTACAATTAATTTATATTGTTATTGAATTGTTGGTCCTTTTATTAAAACTTCTTTTATGAGCATTTATTTCAGCCTTTACCTATATTTTTCATACTTATGTAGTTTTTTAAGCGAATTTTTGATACTTCCACTCAACATCTTATAGTTTTTACTGATTATCTGTGTTTCTCATAGTTTTTTACTGATTATCAAATGTGTATATTCTATTTCTTCCACTTCTTTACTCAATGCCTTCTACTTTCTTCCTCAATATCTCAAAAGTTTAGTATCATTAGCTTCTTACGGGTTTTTATTGACGTTAAACACTAACAAAACGAATAAATGAGAGATGCGTGATGACATTCTTTGGCACTAATTAAGTGAGAATCTTAGGGGAAAAGCTTGTTTGAAATGTTTAAATTTATAAAAGAAGGGTGCATTAAAATGAATAACATGGTTGGAAAGGGGGTGAACAGTGATTTTGAAGAGGAAAATAGCGATTTTAAGGGTGAAAAAGTGATTTTAAAGGCAATTTCGTTATTATAAGGCATTACAATATATTAAGTTAGGTAGTACTGATCTAGTTTAAGTTGACATTTTACGTTATTGTGGCAATGCAAGTTCAGAAACAATAGTTTTCTTTGGTTAATTTGACGATATAGATAAAGGTATTTTTGACCAATTTTGCAATTCAAAACCATAGCAAATGCTTTTCGTAAATTACCCATGATATTTGGTTCAAATTGGCCAAAAACTAGCTGCAAACGGCCAAAAAAGGGTCTATTTTTTCAAAGAATCCCGTTAAAAACACAAAACAAAGTTTGATATCTCCATGAAAATCAAAACAAATCCCCAAAACCCTTCAAAATCATTCGTTTAAACGGCAGTATATTACAGTATGCACAATGTTCAACCAGTAATGAGACGTTGTTCGTCGGCGAACACTTCGTGATGTCGTTTTCGGCTCAACAGCTTCAGGGTGACATTGTTGGTTGGGGGTTGGCCGTCGGCTGGTGGGACGGCCTTGATCTCCACGTTGCCACAGTTTGCCAGGATTAGTGTGGCCAAGAGGAATCTGGACTTTTCATATCGGTCGGAGCCTTGAAGGACCTGAGGCATGGTTTTCGAGGATCCTACGGCGTTTTCGCCTTCTCCGAACGCGTTGATGACATCTGTGCCGTACGAGTGGATATCGAATGGCTTGTGGCTCTCTTCTTCTGCTAGCCGGTTGGCGATCCGCTGGTTCCATTCTTGGATCTGGCGTTTGCCTTTGTTATTGATTTTGCCCGAATCAGTCTTGTTCCAGTAGCTGAAAAATTGAATTTTAGAGAATATGGACGCCTTTGAAACCGCAGAAAGCCACCTTAAGTCCATCCAACGCCTATTCCACCCCTCAAACTCACTTATAAATGCTCTTGAAGATCTGATTCTGAGTCCCATTATGCATGTCCTCCATGATCTGATCCAGGATGGGGTGTTCCTTCACAAACATCGCGTACTCGGCCTCCATTTCCAGCGCGCATTCGTTGAATTCGGCTAGTTCTTCCATGTTGGGTCGACTCAAATCGCCCACTGGCATGGCTGGTTCATCCTGGGTTTCGGGCAGTTCAATATCGACTTCTTCGGCCGGATCGTCGACATATTCGTCGCCTAGGGCTTCGTTCACTTCTTGGGCCAGTAGGGCGGCCGCGGTTTGTTCTTCTTCATCGCTGTCTGCCGAATCGTCGTCGTTTTCGGGGAGGACACCAAAGTTGTCGACTGGTAGGTCTACTGTAACATAAGAAGTCATTTTGTATTAGAGTTTATTATAAGTCATTTTCATGTGAAACAGCTTTATTATAAGCCATTTTGAGGTCAAACAGCCGTTACTGAACTGAAGATCCCCATTTTAACCCCTTATTACCTAAACTACCATTTTCAGTACAAAATCCCTATTTTACCACTCAAAACCCCCACAAACATCCAATTCTTACCTTCAGTCCCATTAAACAATGAATTCCGAACCGGTCCATTTCTCCCATTACCGGTCGATTCATTCATCAGTCCACTTCGCCGTTGTGACAGCCGTTTCTCCCGTTCGGCCGCTTGGATCTCTTTCCGTCGTTGCTTCTCGGCCTCCTTTCGCTGCTTCAGAATCCGCGCTTCGTACTTCTCTTGAGCGTATAATACAGTGTTCAGAGCTTGCATTTGTTTCGACCTTAGGGATGGATTCAAGTTGGCTAGGGCTGAACCGGCTTTGGTCAATTTTCGGCTGAACATTCGGGCTGTGATGTAGGCGCCGAGACTGTTTTCTTGGTTTTCAATGCCTTTGGCGGCTAGTTGTTCCTGAAAAATTGAAAATTTTTGATGTTGGTTTACTAAAAATAAGCTTTTTTAAAGTTTCTTTCAAAATTTCTTTTATGAAAGTTTGTTACCTAAAAAAAGCTTTTTTTTTATCCGAAAAATGAAAAAATTCAAAATTTGTTACCCAATAATCAATTTTATGAAATTTTTTTACCTAAAAAGCCATTTTTTCTAATTTTACTACCTAAAAATCAACTTTACTAAGGTTTGTTACCTAAACAAGATTTGTGCCCCTGGAAATTAAAAAATTTCAAATTTTGTCACCTAAAAAGTTTTTTTTTTCATTTTGCTTCCTGTCCCTAAAAAACTGACCGGCCTTTTCTAACATCCTCAAAAATCTCCCCCCCCCCCAAAAAACCCCAAAACCTACCCGGATCAGCTTGTCCCTCTTCTCGACTTGTTGTTCGGCCCTCTTGATATGGGTCCTGCTCTGTTGTAGAGGCTTTCTTTTCACTTCCAACGGCTCAAAGTCATCCATGAGTTCGATCTTCTCCCTCCAGTTCTTCACCACCCTCTTCTTGCTTCTGGTTGATTCGTTCATTCCGATTTGCGAGTCACATGCTGGAATGGCACCGCTCATGACAGTGGATGGTCGTGGATCCAGAGTTCGGGCATCTGTGTCACGACGACCAATTTCTATGGCTTGGGACTGGGAGATGTCGGTGTGGGTGGTGGTTGGGGGGACTGTAAGGTCAATATTATTTTAAAAAAATATTTTTTATCACAAAAAAACCAAAAATAGCTCAAAAACAATTAAAAATATATAAAAATAGACCAAGAACTATAAAAAAGGTGACAAAAATGACTTAAAATAAAAAATCCTTACGTTCCATGGCCATTCCAGCCTCTGGAGCAATTTCTTCTGGCTCAAAACCACCAGCTGATGCATAATCATCTTGAGGTTGATCTTCTACATGTTGAGGTGACTCTACATGCTGTTCTGGTTGAGTTTCAGGCACTAAAAGGCTTGATATTAACCATGAAAACACTAAGTTTGAACCCGTAATCGTTATACCTAGTAAAAGCTCCAAGAAGCTTCAAATGATCAAAACATAACATTTAAAACAAGTGTAATGTCTATACCTACATAAATTCATAATTCTAGCCCTAATAGACCATTATCCACTTACCATCAACCATATTCCTGAAAGGTTCCAAACTGTGAGTAATCTCATTGATCAAAGGAAGATAAGCCACATTCATTAACACTGTCATCTGCTCAGCCTCATTCGAAGCATATGCCACACTTGAAAACGCAAACAGCTCATCCTGCCTAATCGACATGGCTTCATTACCATGCGTAAACTTAACATAATGTTGAGATGGCACCGTTTTCTTCGTTGGCATAAACGAAATCGGTAAATCGACCAGTCGATCTCTTTCTCCTTCAATTCGAAGTTGTCCCACTTTAACTGGTACCTTGTGTTCTCGCTTTTTGTCCTGCTCCAGAAGCCATTTCAGGTCAACCGAGCTGGATGTTAGAGAGTCAATGTCCACTTTGAAGTCAAAGTCGTTCTTCCGCCGAGTTATGTCGGTTTCGTCGGATGAATCACCGATCCCTGACTTCTTACCCTTCTTCTTGGTCACTGTGCCACTGTAGGCTTCACAGACTAGATCATAAAGACGGTCCACCTTCTTGGCAAACAATTGGAACGAACTTTGAAGGAGAACAGCTGCTTCCGAGAAGTTGAACCTAAAAAAGGTTATGATAAGTGTGGAAGAGTTATTGATATTGCCGTTTTTGAGAAGTCAAGTAACTTAGTAGGTGATGCCAAGTTTTTCAAGTTAGGTTCACAAAAAATATGTTTTTCTCCAATTCAAAACTAAATAACCATCAAAATTACACATTCCATCCAGCCAAACTCATTTTTTATCTTATTCATCAAATTTGTCTCCAAAAAATACCTAAAACCTCAATAACAAATCAAAAACCTACTTTATAAGCTCGCCATCTTCGCCTTGAACATTCCTCTCACGATCACTTCGCAGTTTCTCCAAGTAGACGCCCAAGATCTCGTAAATGTCGTCGTCCAAGTGCTCCGACAAGTCTCGGATTGGCTGCAGTAAGTAGCGGTAGCGAGCTATTCTCGCCTCATCTTCGTCCATCTAGAGATTATTAGCATTATAAAATGTGTTAAATAGATCCAATATACCTTTTTTATAAAAAGTACAAAAAATAAAAATTGAAACAATAAAAAATCAACAAAGAAGAAATTGAATGGAGTCTAACCATTTTGATAGTATAAACCATGTAAAACAAGTAAAAAATGAATAAAACTTTATTAAAAACGTTTTCAAACAATAAACATAAGCTTTTACAAACCCTTAGCTTAAACAAAAACAACAATTTAAGAAAATACTCCTATAACAAAATTCAAAAACTCAAAGAGTAATAAAACCTAAAGGTTAATATCACAAAGCAAAAAAAAACTAATCCTATAAAACTTCAAACTCTAAAAAACTATATCAGATCAACACAATCAATCCCGGCGCTTCTCTGGTATCTGAAGACCGACCAGTCGAGCACTTTCCTCCACGCTCTTCTCTCTTCCCTTGTACTTCTCGTTCAGTTCAGCCAGCTCACGTGAAGAATTTAGATAAGTCGCATAATTGACTGCCAAACCTTCCAATTCCTTGGGTCCATTCATATTCACTCGCTGCGTAAGCTTATTGCTCTTGAATTGCTCCTTGATAAAGTTCAAATGTTGTTCTGACGGCTTCTGAAACATATTTTTTACCCACATTCAAATTGAAGCATCTCAAGATTTCTATGCCTAAATATCAAAAAAAAAACAAATAACTTACTCCATTGGTTTTACTGAGCTCGGTGAGGATGGTCTTGAAAGCTTTTAGTGCTTTTTGACTTCGTTCAATCGTTGCCATTACCTAAAAATGTTACTTTACATGTTGACACCAATTTACACTAGTTTTATCAAAAATTTGGTTTGATAAACATTTAATTATACTTATAAATAGATTGAACAATGAAACTGAATAGATTGAACAATAAAATATAAATAAAAACTTACTTTATGCGCTATATTCTCCTTACGACAAAAAATTGTCCGCGAAATAATTTTAGCGCCAAAAGAAGCAACGCGCTCCTCTGTTTATCGGTTTTTCCAAACGAAGTGTCACAAATATTAAAATATTATAATAGCAAATCCTGATAATTAAAACAGCACATCAAAAACAGTATTTTTTATCCAAAGTATCACAACAATATATAGAACAGGGGAGCAAATCCCGGGCCCATTTTTAAGGACCGGCTCGCGGGTTAGACTTGAATGTTAAGCCCGGCCCATTTTATACGTTTTGCTCAGGCTCTGTCCGGCCCGTTCCCAATATCTAAATCCTTGGACCACCAATTCCAGTCTTTTCTTCAACATCCTTACCTTGACTTGGACTTTTAGTTCTCGCTTGCTTCCGAAGTCCACCTTCTTTGTGCTCGGTTGTCCCTTCAACTCCAGCTCGCTCCGTCGCTTCTTGATCTCCTCGTAGTGCTTCAAGACCTGAATTGCTTCTTATTTCAAGCGTTGGCGTTTCCAATTGTCTTCATTGTTGATTTGGATCAATGTGCCTTCAGCTTCTGCATCTGAAGCGGGCTGTTTGAAGAGGTATCGATCATACAGCGATTGATCAGCGTACGTAGAGGAACCCGTATGGTAGGATATGGTTCTAAAAAGTTTTTTGTTGATGAAGGTGGACTATAATTTAGTTTTTTTTTGTATCTATCTGCTGATCTTGACCTATTATTTAATTTTCTTAAATTTTTTAAAATTTTGATTTGAAAAGAGGCGCAGAATTAAGTGAACGACCTAATATAACTTAAAAATAAAGATCTCAGTGCAACATTATAAACTTCATTCTTTTTGATTAAAGTGACGTCAGGCAGAAGCTGATGAAGTGAGGGAGCCGCCCGAAAGGTGAGAATCTCCCCCCCCCCCCCCCCCATTTCCTTCTTCATCTCACTTTAAACGAAGGTGGGGGGATGGGATGAATCAGAAGCTTTGTTCACGTCTAATCCAGCAGAGCGCGACGTCGTCGATGAGAAGGCGATGACACAAAAGATTGGAGAGAAAAGGTTCCTTCCACCTGTTTCTAATCTCCTCAATACATTTGGCGTCGGCTGATTCAGCCATCCACCAACCTTTTTTTGGGCTTCGCTTTATGTTTTTCAGCCGCCTTTTGCGAGTTTAAGTCTTGTGGGGGTGGTGGTGGATTTGGGGGTTTTGAGGCGGTGGGGATTGAAGTTGATTGTCTTGAGAGTGTTTTGGTGGATGTTCTGAGAGAAGTGTGTTAGATGTTTTGGAAAGGTAGGGTAGGGTGTTTCATTATATTGTTTTGAGGGGTGTTTTATGTTTTTAAAAAGATAAGAGAGGGTCATTTTTTAATAGGTTCTATGGGAGGAAGGGTGTTTTATTTTATTGGATTTATGATGGTTAGGGGGTTATGAGGCGGTGTTTTACTAAAAGGCTAGGATCAGACAGGCTAGGGCTCTGGTCTAAGGCTCTGGGCTAGGGCTAGGACTAAGGCTAGGGCTAGGGCTAGGGCTCTGGTCTAGGGCTCTGGGCTAGGGCTCTGGGCTAGGGCTCTGGGCTAGACCTAGGGCTAAAATTTGAAAAAAATTATTTACGGTATATTTGGAAGTAAAATGTATAATCACATAGCTCAAATTAAAAAATAAAATTTTTAGGACAGTAGAATGCTACTGTGCACCATACTTGTCGGGTTAGCAATTGGAACGGTAGCGGATATTCAAGTCAAAATCGAACGGCATTTCCCTTGTTCTTCATCGACTGGTAAGTTTTTATTCAAATTGAACTCGGAAAAAATTGAAATATTTTTCAATTTTTTTTTTTTGTTTACCCACTAATTTGACTAAAAATCTTTTTTTACTCCGCCCTTAATATATTTTTTTAATCTGCCCATGCCCTAACCAAAAATTTTTTTCTTGCCCACGTTCTCAATAATTTTTTTTTTTCTTATTCACGCCCATAACAAAATTATTTTTCTACCCATGCCTCTCCCAAAAAAACTTTTTTTTCTTACCTACGCCCATAATAAAATTTTTTAAACTAAATTTAATTGAGCAGTTTTTCTCTGCCTCCTTCAAAAAGATGTTTTCTCACCCACGCCCTTACAAACCACCCTCCAAACCCTAATTGTTACCTAAATTAAGGCCCGAACAAAGACAATCTTCGGATCAAGTTCCCCAGCTACAAATCGACCGGTGTCAACTTCAAAGAAGATGTTAACTCTCAAGGTAACAAATGCTTTAAAATGTCGGGTGGGCGAGTGGAGGTGTACCCACCTGGACTACCTGGCCATAAGAGCTACTACGTGCATCTGGAGACGCGGATCGGGATTCACGGTAAACCGGAACGATGTGTGAACGCTGATAAGGATGGGTGTGGTGGTATTGGGTCGTGGTAGGTTTTTGCTTTACTTTAATGTTTTTAGTCATACTGTAACTTTTTTAGTCATACTGTAACTTTCTACTCATACTTTAACTTTTTATTCATACTGTAACTTTTTATTCATACTGTAACTTTCTTATCCATATTGTAACTTTTTTGGTCATACTGTAACTTTTTTAGTCATACTGTAACTTTCTAGTCATACAGTAACGTCGAAATTTCAAATGTTTAAATTTTGTTATCTAAAAATCGTCTTCAGACCTATGTCTTATTATACCTACTATAACATAAAAAGATTTCAAAACCTCTAACTTTCAGTGTTCATTGTGACATTTGTCGCACAATGGGTGGCAATTTGAGAAACTTTGTCCAAATTTACCAAAACGTCCAACCAGCCAAGTGTAGCGCCGAAGGATTGGCGACAGGAGAATATACTGATCTGTCGTTGAGAATATGTCTACCTACTAAAAATGAACTACTGCCATTTTTGGATCAGAACACCAGCCGAGCCGAGCAGCTATGGGACATTTTCGTTAGTAGCCGTGCTCGTTCCGGTGAGATTCCACTGGTTATCGCTGCCCGCCTCTTCGATCGACCGGTCAACAAACTGTCGATTAAGGAACTAAATGACGCTTTACATGGTTCTAAAGATGGCATGATCGGATGCCATTGGATCTATGCTACTGTCTCTCAGATTTAAATTTAAAAAATTTTTTTTGAAATTTAAAATTTTTTTTTAATTTTCAAAAAATATTTTACATTTTAAAATTTTGAAATTTTTTAAAAATTTTGCGTTTAAAAAGCTTTTAAAAAGTTTTGTCGTTTTTTAACATTGTTTGTCATTATAAAAAGCGCCAAGTCTTTTCTGAAGCCTCAATATTATCATTGTTCTCAAAGTTCTGGGTTTTCTATTACGCTGTTTAAATAATTCTGAGCCCTTTAACTCCAAAAATTTGCTTTGGAAAGGGGCACAGGATTATTTCAACAACTATTATATTAATCTACTGTAATTTTGTATTGTACAGTATCTTTCGGTAATATTTTTTAAATCTTTTTCATCTCTTATCATAGATATCTTCCCCATAGACCTAGCTCTATTTCTACCCCTAGCCCTATTTCTACCCCTAGCCCTATTTCTACCCCTAGCCCTATTTCTACCTCTAGCCCTATTTCCACCCCTCGCCCTATTTCCACCCCTAGCCCTACCTTAGCCCTTTCTAAACTTGGGTCAGTGTAATATTCGTCTTGTCCTAATTTATGACATTGTAATCGACCTTTTCCTTTCCTTTTGATGTTTGATTTCTAATTGTTATGAAATTCGCCTGTTTTTGGATGATCGAATTAATAAAAATGAATCAAAAACAACGTTCGACTAGGTTATCGTTGTCAGTTAGGGGAATAAGAAGCTATCACTTCTTAGCTGGATACTTTTTTGAGGGTTTTTAAAGGTGAAAGTTTTGAAAAATTTATTTTTAGAGTAAGCCTTTAAGTAAAAACGAGATAAGTTAAAATCAAGGTTAGGGTATAATAAGAATAGGATAAGCAGCTAGGATAGGGCAGGTAAAACTCAGTAAAGATATAGTCAAGTTTAGTAAGAGCAGGGCACGGTACGTTAAAATAGAAAGAATCTTGGATACGGCACGGCACGATAAGTAAGCTTGAGCTTGGATATGAATAGAGTAGAGTAGGGTATGTTAAGGCAAGGCAAGGCAAGGCGAGGCGAGGCGAGGCAAGGCAAGGCAAGGCAAGGCAAGGCGAGGCGAGGCGAGGCGAGGCGAGGCAAGGCAAGGCAAGGCAAGGCAAGGCAAGGCAAGGCAAGGCAAGGCAAGGCAAGGCAAGGCAAGGCAAGGCAAGGCAAGGCAAGGCAAGGCAAGGCAAGGCAAGGCAAGGCAAGGCAAGGCAAGGCAAGGCAAGGCAAGGCAAGGCAAGGCAAAGCAAGACAGTGTAAAGTAAATACTATTTTCTACTTTATTCTACGCTACTTTTAATTTATATTACCTGCTCTAAAATGTCACCAATTTGTCAAAAAAGCCAGTTTTCTAATTTTAAAATTATAAAAATTTTGTTTAACTTTGTAAATTTTAAAATAATATTAACTCTTCTTTGACGACTGTAATATATGAAATATAACATAACTTCGTATATTACAATTCGTATATTAAAACTTCAGCGAAGTAAAAAAACTTGCTTTTAAAATATTTTTCGTCGAGACTCTCGGTTTTTTTATTGTTTAAAAAGTAAAAGGTAAACGGTAATAACTTGTAATTGTGGGGGTTGATTTGGGTGTGGCTACACGTGTAGAATGATAAAGGTAAAGTAAAGAATAGCAGTTAAGTTGTTGCGGTTTTAGATGAAGTTTTAGAATTTTAAAATATTTTTTCTAATACTTCCTTTTGAACGTTAGGTTAAGGTTATCATAGATCAAGGGTAAGATGAAGATAGTTTTAAAATAAGGCTAGACTAGAATACAAGCAGGCTTTTATTATAATAAGATCTACGTGGAATTGATTGCTGATATGAATGGCATAAAGTCGGGCTATGCTAAAGACATGCTAGGACAAGAACTAGGACAACGCTTATGTAATGTTGAAGCAAACGTATAAGTTAAGTCTCATTATGAATAGACTAGCTTACCACGTAAGATAAAGAGGAGATGCTACGAATGTGGCTAAGAGGTTGGCTAGGGCTTGGACTATAGCTTGAGCGACATTGATTAAGGCTAAAGCTAAGGACTAGAGTTAGAGTTAAAACTAAAGGCTAGAGCTCTGGGCTCTGAGCGAGGGCTCTGGGCTAGGGCTCTGGGCTAGGGCTCTAAGCTAGGGCTCTGAGCTAGGGCTTTGAGCTAGGGCTTTGGGATAGGTCTAGGGTTAGTAGAGGCAAGGTAGGGTAAGGTAGTGGAGGTGGAAGTCTTCCAATCTGATAAATATAGCTGAACAAGCCTCGACAACCCTCGCCTGTCCATCAGCCATCCCTCCTGTTCCAACTTTTCAATTTCTTACATTGTTGAAACGAAAGGGAAAGTCGATGAAAAGCGTCGATGAAACCGTTCGTTGCTGGCCTTGTCTCTTTTTTCGTCGACAACAAAAGAATGATATAGTAGGTAATAAAGCGCGAATGAGGCGTTGTGGAGAAAGTTAAGGTGCGCTCCAAAAACACATTGATTACCGCTGTTCTTCAGGGGGTTTTGCTCGGTGTTTCATGAGAGAAGCAAGAGTAGAGGTAAGGGTACAGGTAGGGGTGGTGAAGTTGGCTTAGTAGGACAGTTTTAAAAACTGGCTATTGAGAATGTAGGGGGTGTATTAAAAGTTTTTATAATTTTATTACTTTACCCTAGCCTTACCGCGGCCCTGTTCAAGTCTCATAATACCCTAACCTCATCATAACCCTACGGTACCCTACCCTGCCCTACCTAGCCTTAGCTTACCTTTTCTTTAGGCATACAATAGCCTTGCCTTATCTAAGCCCTCTTCTTGCCTTATCTCTAGCCCTATCCTTAAGCACTACCATTCAAACTTACTTTAGCCTCGCCAAAGCCTTGTCTTAGTTTTTGTTTTGCTTTGGCCTTAACACAGGCCTAGCACTAGTTTCTTCTAGCTTTACCCTAGCCTTGCCAAATCCATATCTCTTTTTATTTGGCCTTAATTTAGCACTTATTTGTCCTTATCCAAGCTACTCTACTCTATGTCTTAATTTAGTCTCAAGCGGCTTTAGGGTATGTCACTTTAACCTTAAACTGAACTTATGCTACACCGCTTTAACCTTAAGCTACGTCATTTTTAATACAGAATTAAAACTTTTAATCATTCTCACTAGTCACTACCCTAGCCTAGCAAGCTTCAAATTTACCTCAAAGGAACATTTCGAGGAGTTTGTTCCAACAAAAAGGGTAAAATTCGACTTGTCGCTTTTGTTTTCATCGAATATTGATTAGTCTAGGTTTGGGTTAGCGACTTCAAGGTTATTTTCGTATGTTTACAAAGCCAGTTCTCAACGTTCCAACCCGCAAATTTTCTCAGCGTTCTCGCGGGCTTCTCGCTGTTTTTGCTGAGGTTATATTGTTTTAGGGGTAGATGAGCTGGGGCGATCTTATCTGAAGGTTAGGAGTTAATAGGGTAGGGTAAGGTAGGGTAGGGTAAAGTAGGGTAATGTACGGTAGGCTAGAAAAAATCTTTTTTATAGGGTTGGTAAGACTAAAGAAAAAAAATGTTATGTTTTGGGAGGGGTAAAAAAAATTTTTTAGGGGGTGGATTTTTTCAAAAAAAATTTTTTTGGTTTTTAGTAGAAGCCTAATTTAAATCACATACTAACACATTTTGAATCTTAAAAACCCAGCTTTATCTATTTTTCCTCCTCCCATTACAACATAACCCAGTAAAAACCATTTACATAGTAATTGACCAATATTTACTGTTTACCCTCGATGTTGTAACATTACGGTGATAAAAACGCTGTAAATCGCTGAAGAAAAACGCTGTAAATACGATGGTAATCTGTTGTAAATTTGTTGGGAAACGTCTACAACCAGTAGTCAGTTCCAATCTCAATCAACCGGTATTTTTTCAAAATTTTTTTGAGTTTTTGCGACGATTTACTGCCACTCGGAATCAGTTTCACCGTTCCGTTTTTGTTGCCAGACTGGATTGGTGGCGTTAAGGAGCTTTAAACAGGGTCTGGGGAGGGACAATGGCTAAGAAAAAGCAGTGTTTTAAGAATAAAAAAAAAGGGGGGGGGGGAGAGGATGAGGAGAGATAAGATAGGATATTAGATAAGGTAGCGTAGGGTAAAGTAGGATAAAGTAGATTTGGGTAGAGTAGGATAAGGTAGGGTTGGGTAGGGTAGGGCAAGATGACATAGGGTTGAGTAAGGTAGGGTGGTTAATTATAAATGTTGGGCACGGGGTAATATTATTCTTAAAAGAAAAAAAGCGGGAAGGGACGGGCGGGGTTGATAAAAAAAACATTTTAAAATTTTACTTTTTTGAATCCCCCCCCCCCCTTCTCCTTTTTTCGTCCTAGCTTCCCCTCTCCACCCCCCCCACCCCCCTCTCCTTCTTCACTTGCCCTACCCCGCCGCCCTCGCCTCTACCCACATTCGGTTATATCCAAAGTTCTCAATTCAGAATCCTTAAAAACTGTCATTTTCAAATCCAGAATTCGTAAAATCATTTTGTTTGAATCCAGAAACCTCAAAAACTTTGAATTGCTGTTTACGTCAATGGTAATCTTTGGTTACCGAACGTACTTCTGCTTTTGGCGAATTCCGCTGATGAATGCGTTCAAAGTCCACGTGCGCAAAAAGTGAAAGAAACGAGTAATAAACAAGTAAACATTGCCAGTTTGATACAGACCCTTCTTCAGTTTGTTATTGCTCTTACGCGTTACTACGTTTCATTTTAGCCTTTACCTTAAACCTAGCCCTAGCTCTAGCTCTAGCTCTAGCCCTAGCCCTAGCCCTAGCCCTAGCCCTAGCCCTAGCCCTAGCCCTAGCCCTAGCCCTAGCCCTAGCCCTAGCCCTAGCCCTAGCTCTAGCCCCATCCCTAGCTTTAGCCCGCTATGGCCTTAGCTCCTGCTTTAACCCTAATCTGGCCCTTGCTAGACTCTAAATCAAACCTGGCCCTAGCCTTTTAGTAAAACACCCCCGTTGCCATAACCTCCTATCCCACCATAAATCCAAGAAAATAGTTTTTATCCGTTGTGCTTAACCTAATCTTGCGTTTTAAGCCTAAAACTTTTAAAACTTTTTTCTCTACCTTTGCTTTACTATAGCATAGTTTATACAGTTCGTGAATATACCTTAAGACCAGTGTATGTAAGCCCAATCAATTCACCTTTCCAGGACCATGAAACTAAGTCTTCTGTTCCTACTGATCGGCGCTGCCATCGCGGCCGATATGAATGACATAACAGTCAAGATTGAACGTCACTTCCCCTGCAGCGCATCCTCAGGCCCGCCAAAAGATCAGTTGAGGATAAAGTTCCCCAGCTACAAGTCTGAAGGTGTCAAGTTCACCGAAGAACAAAGTGCCAGCGGCAATAAGTGCTTCAGAATGTCAGGCGGAACAGTTGAGGTATCACCACCTGGCCTCGATGGCAGCAAGAAGTACTACGTACACGTTGAGACTAGAATTGGCATCAAAGGAAAGCCGGAACGTTGCATTAACGCTGATAAGGACGGTTGTGGTGGTATTGGGTCATGGTAAGTTGAAGCAGTAAAAATAGATCGATACTCCATCTTATCCTACCTCACCCTATTTACACTACCTTACTGCACCCTCCCTACCTTACCCTACCTTAAAAATTCGATAAAATTACAGCAACCTAAAATTAAAAAATGAATTCCAGTGTCCACTGTGACATCTGCAAAACCAAAGGCGGCTCGTTGAAAAACTTTATTCAAATTTTCCAAAAAGACAAACCAGCCGAATGCAGTGCCGAAGGCTTGCCAGAAGGCTCATACGACGACCTGTCACTGAAGGTATGTCTGCCAAACAAAGAAGAGATGATGAAGTTCTTGGATCCCGATGTCAAGAGAGCCAAACAAATTTGGAACATCTTTATGCAAACCCGATCTCAAGCTGGTGTAAGTTTTGAATAAGGTTTTTTTCTCATTCGACTTCTTGTTGAGGATTACAAGAGGTACAGTTAGACTAAGCTGTAGCTAAGGTATATTATGAAAGGTCTAAATCAAGGCTAGAAACTTAGAGAAGGCTTTAGTAGGGCTAAAATAAAAAATACTCTATCCTTCCAGAGCTACAATAAGTGTAGAGCACAGAAGATATAATTAGAAAGGTTTATCTATACTAATCTATAGTACAGTAAAAGATAAGTTAGCATAAGTCAGTCTAGGAAAAAAAAAACTAGGACTAAGACGAAATTCCAAACAGAAGACGCTAGATTACTGTAAAATTAGAGTAAAGTAGAGATATATTAAGGCTAGAGTACAATACGCAACAGACAAATTGAGATGTTTAAGCTAGCGTAGGGTCATTGAAGAACTACAACAAGTCTAGAGCTACAGTAAGTTTATCGAAAAGCCAAGCTAAGGTTAGCATGGGCAATTAAAACTAAAGCTAAAGGGCTAAGGCTCGGCGGCTAGGACTAGAGCTCTGCAACTCGGGCTATGACTAAGGCTAAGACTAACTAAGGCTAAAGCTAAAGCTAAAACTAAGACTCAGATTTAAGCTAAGACTAAGGCTAAAGCTTGAACCAGAGCTACGTTTTTCCTTGCCATTTTAAAACCAAACCCTCTGCCATTCCAGAACATTCCATTGGTAATCGCGGCCCGACTCTTCGACAAGCCTATCAACCAGCTCAACTCGAAAGAGTTAAACGATGCTCTCCACGGCTCCAAAGACGGCATGATTGGCTGCCATTGGATTTACGCCACAATTTCGTCAAACTAATTATTACCCCACCTCTGAACTTAAAATCTCCTTTTTGATTGGGTAGATCAAGCGATTTGGCTATAGAGTTGTGTGAACTACCCGGTACCTAACATTGTATATGTATTCTAATTTACGGTTACATAAACTAAATATTTTTGAGAATTGTCGGTTTTATAGTTTAGGCTTAAAAAAGAGTTTTGGGCTTAAAAGTTAGTTTTAGGCTTATCATACAACCTAGAACAAGCCCGTCCTTTTAGGCTTATATATTTAGGTCTAGGACACAACTTGTGTTTTAGCATACAATTTTAGGCTTTTCACACAGTTTTAGGCTTAACAAAAGATTTCAAACTTAGAAAAAGGTTTTAGGCTTAGCACAACTTTACGCAAAGCAAGCTATATTATACCATAATTTCAGGCTTAACCCACAATTTAGACTTAACACACAGTTTTAAGCTTAAAAAATCAAAATTAGCACACACTTTTAGGCTTAGTCCATAACTTTAGGCTTTAACACAAAAACTATTTTTTTCCAAAATTTTTTTATGATTTTACAATTTTTAGGCTTAAGAAAACAATCTTAAGGTTAGCTTATAACTTTAGGCTTTAACAAGAAAAAATTTTTTTTCCAAAAAATTTAAATTTTAAAATTTAATAAAATTTCGAAATAGTTGTAATCCAAAATAAAAGGCGTTTTTTCCATGTGAATATCAAAACCAGTGATCTTTTGGTGTTGTAAACTAGGTGATTGTTCACTGATCAGCCTTATCAAACAGAGTTAACCTTGTCACGTATGAATAAAATAACCTCGCCTTGAACGCCATTTTGAAACAACTATTACTTACGGTTTAAAATTTTGATTATAGCCTTAAAAGCCTTTAATGGAGAGGGTTAGGTAGGGTAAGGTTAAAGTCATAAGTGCTAGGGCAGAGCAGGGTCAAACTGCAAGGTAAGGGTACGTAAGGGGGTGTCTAGTGCAAAACAGTAGACAAATAGGAGTAGGGTAGGGTAAGGTAGGGTAGGGTAGGGTAGGGTAGGGTAGGGTAGGGTAGGGTAGGGTAGGGCAGGGTAGGGTAGGGTAGGGTAGGGTAGGGTAGGGTAGGGTAGGGTAGGGTAGGGTAGGGTAGGGTAGGGTTGGGTAGGGTAGATATGAAAAAAGAATTTTTTCTCCACCTGTATCTTCCAGATTAAAAAGCGTACTGCCTACACACAAAACAAAATTTTTTGTCTCTTCCCCTCCCCCAAAACTTTAAAAAAATTTTGAAAAAAACGCTTTACGGAGTCCCATTTCAACGTTAAGAAGCCCTTGCAGAAAAAGTGTCGACCTAATTTTTTTGAAACACCCAGCCCTGACGGCAAGGCTTTTTTTCAATTTATTTTAGAAGGTTCTTCTTTTGACCTTCTGATACCTGCAATAATTATAAAAAACGATCCAAAACCTTCCTTTACAAACCTAAAACCTTCGTTTTCAGACCCCTCAACCTGTAGTTAATAAACCATGAAGACCTCACACCTACACCTCCTACTCTACTATCTTATTCTTCTACAATCTTTTGTTACATCTCACAAGTTTTTGCTTTACAACCCAGTAAACTTGGGTGCAAGTCCATCACATCGACTATTTATCGACAAACTGGGGAACCTTTTAGTCGATAATGGTCACGATGTTGTCAATTACATGCCTACACTGCTTGAACACGATGAAGGAAAGAATAAGCGAAAAGGAAGATTACTTGAATGGAAAGGAGAAAAGATGTTAATGGCCAAGGATACGACGTTCAGCAATGCTTGGCTTAAAGACGATAGCTTTTGGGGCATGTTCAATATTACGGTAAGGAATGTAATTAAATACTAGTTAGTTAAGGTAAGGTAGATTAACATAGCCAACGCTTATGCTAGACCCAGGCGAGAGCTAAGGGTAGGGATAGAGCTAGAGCTAAAGGTAAGGCTAGAGCTAAAGCTAAGACGAGGGCTAAGATACAGCAATGTAAGGTAAGCTCATTACACATTTTCAATTTCAGACCATGTTAGCCTACTCAGACAAGTTCGGCCAGCTGTGCGACGCTCAAATGGCCGACTCAAAGCTAATGGATCAACTAAAATCCGAAAACTTTGATCTAGGTTTAAGCGAGAACTTCGATCCTTGTGGCTTTGCCATTTTCAAACGGTTAGGTATAAAATACGCGCCAGTATTCTCCACAACCCCAAGCAACTTTCAATTCGAAAGTTGGTGTATTCCTAGTCCACAAAGCTACGTTCCAGCTTGGATTTGGCCTTATGCTAATCCAGCTAATTTCAAAAAGAGGCTATTGGCTGAACTGAGCGAGGTTTACTCTTATAACTATGCCAAGTATATTCACCATAGCCGGATTGTGGATCGTCAAGGTTATGGGGATTATTCGGTGGGTTGTTTGGCTTGTTTTTTTTTAAATATTTTTGATTTTTAACTTCATAATTTTATAGATTTTTTATTTTTTTGGTCTATTTTAATTATTATTCTCATAACTATATTGCCATTCTTTTTTCAGAGCATTTTGGCCGAAAGCCAAGTGATATTCGTCAATGCTGATGAATTTGTTGATTTCACCCGCCCGATCACGAATAAGATAATTTATATTGGAGGTTTTGGCCTAGAGAAGGCTGAACATGCTCCTGTTGATCAGGTAAACTTATCAAAAAATTTGCGTTAAGCCTCAGCATATCAAGTCTAGACCTAAACCTATTAAGCCCGAGCCTATTGAGCTTAAACCTACTAAACCTAAGTTTATGCCTAAAACCCTAAAAACATTATTTAATATTATATTAAATTTAATACCATATATAAACTACACCCACAATATGTTTCAGGAAATCAAAAAAGTTCTAGACAATTCAAAGAAAACCGTACTAATTTCATTTGGAGCTCTGGTAAACAGTTCTGCGATACCTTCAAAACCCAAAAATTCGTTTTTAAAAGCGTTTAAACATTTCCCTGATGTCACTTTCATCTGGAGGTATCAAACGCCAAATGATGGATTTGGAAAAGAGGTTAAGAATCTGCATCTGGGAAGTTGGCTACCTCAACATCAGATATTGAGTAAGCACACGTTTTTATAACTTAGGCCTAAGCCTACTGAGAACAAGTCTAAACACCTGAGCATAAGATTATTAAGCCTGCCGAAACCTCCCATTATACTAAACCAAATTCTTTTATTTTAGGCCACAAAACCACAGTAGGCTTCGTATCTCACTGTGGTATGAACTCAATGAGTGAGGCCAACTATTTTGGTGTTCCTATGATTTGCGTGCCATTCTTTGGTGATCAACATCGAAATGTAAAATCCCTGATTCAAAGAGAAATCGGGTTGGAATTGTCGAAACATTCAGTAAATGAAGAGAAACTAGTCCAAGTTTTACAAAAACTTATTGACAATGACAGGTAAGTCTGTTATCACAGTTATCCTGCCCTACTTTAACCCTAACGGTACAGATAGAGGTAAATGTAGGAGTAATAGAATTAACTTTTCATTCTTAACCAATTCCAGCTACTACAAGAGCGCGAAAACCTTATCAAAGTTGATCAAAGCTAAGCCCCTGACTGCTACTGATAGATTCGTAAAATACGCCGAATTAGCGGCCGAATTCGATCTTCATTCTTATTGGGATATTCCTGGAAGAAACTTAAGTTCCATACAGTACTATAACTTGGATGTAAAAGCATTTTTACTACTACTAATCACATCATTTGTCTTTACTTTCTACAAGATTCTAAGCTTCTTATTTGGCTTGTGTAGGCCTTCAAAGAAGGTCAAACAACAATAAATGATAATTTAATTAAATCTTTTGGTAAAACTTGGCAGTACATAATAACCAATCCTTTAAACCTTCATTCTTATTGGCCCCTCTCCCCCCCCCCCCCCAATTTTTTTTTCAAAAAATTTATAAATTATCTCGCAATTTTAGAAAAAAATTAATTTTATACCAAAAATTAAGCCCAAAACCCCCATATTTAATACAAATTGGCAATAACAATATCTTGAGACGTTACTTTTCAACAACTTTTTCCAATCCAACAACTCCATTCTTAAATAAACCGATTTTACTGTGATATAAGCGTTATACTCGTTAATCCGCGTCGAACACGTACAGCAAGTTTCCCGCGGCCAATGCCACAATGTTCTCCTTGGGGTGCCACGCCGAATGCATGATTTTGGCGTCGAAGTCGAGATTATCGATTTCGGCCTCGGCCCGCGGGTGGGAGCAGAGTTGGCCGCGTTGGAGCGAGCCATTCTCTTGTCGGTACAGTTGGTAGTTGGCCTCGGCCACACTGTCCTGACCGGTTTGGCGGTCAAACGTGCGGAAGTAATTGTTGTAGGAGCCGCTGAGGATTCGGCTGAAGGGAGAGAACGTTATCTTTTTAAAATTTTAATTGATAGGTAAGGGTAGGGATAGGAGTAAGGTTTGGGATAGTTCTAAGGATAGAATTAAAGGTAGAGGTATGACCAGAAGTAGAGATAGAGGTAAATAAAGCAATAACAAGAAAAAATTTTAAAAAATAATAATTTTCAAAAATGCCAATTTTACAACCTATTCCTATACTAAAAGACTAAAAATGCCTATTTAAGTAACACAAAAGTCCTGTCGCTAATATCGATTTAAAATACCAACGAACAAATCAAATTTTTTCCCTTACAAACACCTTAATTTACTGACATTTTACTAACAAAAAATGCCATTTTAACCCCACTAAACGCTTTTCAAAGCCATAAAACACATCTAAATCAACTTACGAATCATCGCCACTCCAGCACGACTCAAACTTGTCAAATATGGCATCGTTTTCGTATAATGTACATAACTTATTGCGTAGATAATCGTGTATACTATATGTTTCGATCGGCGCTGAGTCCATTTTTATGTCCCATACCTAGAAATTTGAAACAAATAATGAAAATCCTCATTTCTAATGACAAGTTCATAAATTGTTACCTAAAATTCAAAAATGTCATTTCTAATGCAAAAATCTAATTGAAATTCAAAATTGTTTCCTAAAATTTGAAAAAAATCAAATTCGTTACCTAAAATTTACTAAAAAAATAAAAACCCAAGTCCAACTTACATATGCGCTCAAATAGTCCCTGGTCAATAAATATCGGCCGGTGTTCGAGAACTTGACGTCTGATACTGATGACACAATTTCCGAAAAGAATCCATGCATTTCGTCCTTGGCTTCAAAGATTTTGGCTGCATCGTCACATAAAGCCTTCTGGCGAGTGTCACATAGCCGTACCAGACCTTTCGAGCTACCATACGCAAACATAAAATCATTTTGGGGGTGGAATTCGGCCGAGGTGATAACTTCGACCAGCTCCTCCATGTTGGCGGGTTTTATATCTACTATGGTGAAGGATTCTTTCGTGATTTCGTGATGCCATAGGTTTATCCTCAGGTCATCCGCTGATATAAATGTGTCCTGAAATTTAAAAATTTCAAAAAAATTTTTTTTCTAACCATGAAAATTCAAAAATAATTGAAAAACACCCCTCAAACCACAAAAAAAATCAAATCCACTCACCTGATCAGCGTTTAAACTGATCGAGTTAATATGGTATGTATGGGCGTTAGAGTAGACTCGGCGTGGTGTCGCTTCCACCACCAGGTCCATATCCTCAAGTTGTGGTAGTAGCAGGTCATCGACCTCGCGTTTTATCCGGTTATTCTCCTTACTTAAGTTAAAATTGCCTTCGGCCAACTGTTTCCGCCGCTCCGATATCTTCCACAGTTTTATTGTCTTGTCTGGAAACAACAAAGTTATTTTAGAAGGTTAAAAAACAAAAAAAAATTTAAATTTTAGGTAACAAATTTATAATATTACCCTACCATTAGTTGACAATAGAAAGTCGGAACTGCTCTTCTTTTTCATCCATTTTATTTGATTTATTTTCTCCTCAATTTCCAGTGACTTCAGGTAGTCGAATTCGGGCTCGTGGGATTGAAACGTCGAATATACCGCGTATTCTGACGAGCGGCGGCCATTCGTCTGATAGCTCTACAACAATGTCGTCAAAAATAAAAAATTTTAAAAGTTGTCAAGATTATATAAAAATGTATATTTGACCGTCCTTTCCCAAAAATAACAAAAATCAACCAAAAAGCAAGATTTTTAAAAAAATTAAAAAATATCGTAAGAGCAGACTTAAAATCCCAAAATGTCAATGTAATCACATTAAAATCAAACATGTCATAAGAAATCTCACTTCGCTTCTTTTAAAGATGACTATTCGGCCGCCTCGATCGCCCGTGGTTAGTAGTTCGCCGTCTTCGCTAAATTGGACCGTCGTGATTTGGTCTGCTAAAAATTGAAATTAGTCATTCTTTAGGTAAAAATTTCATAAAAATTCAAATTTAAACAATAAAAATTTCGTCTTTTGTAATAGTAAACAACTTAAGCACCCCGAAGAACCGTACAGCGCCCATTACGGCAATATGTAAGGTAAAACCCTACCCTACATATTGCCATCCGAAAAACTCTACCCTACCCATTAACACCCCAAAAAACCCTACCTTATCCATTAACACCCACAAAATCAAAACACCCCTCCCTTACCATCACTAGCGACCGCCTGATCCATAGCGCCCTTCAACTGCGAGAAGCGCCACTGTAACTGCCTGGAGTTGGACTGATCCTCCGTGTCCATGGCGTCGCCGACTTGGTCCGGCCGCTTCTTTTCGCCCTCTGCACATTCCATTCGCTCCATGTTGGTCTCTTCACAGGTATGATGACTACTCGTGCTCGGCTGCGCCTGATCTTGTTCCTCGGGGTGAGTTGTTGAGCTCGTCGGTTGGGTAATACTGTTATTGTTGTTGTTATTGGTGGGCTGTTCCGATTTCTGGCTAGCGATTTTGTCGCGTTTTTTCGAGGAGGAGAAACGCCTCAAAAAACGCGGAATTTTTGCCTTCAGCTGAAGAGAAATGAATGTAAAACAAAAAAAATTTTCAAACATACACGATTAAAAATAGCAACACGCAAAGTACAAGTTCAGAAAAAGAAATATATAACAAAAAGTAAATGTCAATCCCTACAATACCCTTCCAATCCCATGAACACGCATAGACCCAAAAAACACGTTTGATCGTATAACTCAGCGCCAAAGCTGCGGGCGCGACTCGCCATTTAAAAACCGCGTGAACAAAAACAGGTATAGACAGAAATGAATAAACAAACTTTCTTAACTCCATTCAAAGACAATTTCGTACCTAAAATCACAAAAATTAAAAACTAGAGATATAAACATCAGATATTCATGGTATGTTGACCAAGCTCACTTTGACTGTAATATAATCAGTTGGAGTTCAAATTTATTAACATTTTACAACTATTAAAACTCCTTAAAACTTTAAAAACAATTATTATACTAGAATAAAGATAACATTCAACAAGAAACACAAAATTCCAACAAGATATATCAGAAAAACTCGAGAAATATAGGACATAAATTATTAAATTGTGCATAAATTAGTGGATATGTGATTAACAACAGTATAAAGTACACGTGCGATTGTCGAATGAGATTATTAGTGCGTTGAGAGGACGAGACTGTTTCGTATTTTCACCGGTTTAGCAATAGAGATTCGTTAGATCAACAAATACTTTAATGAACAATACAATATAGGAATGATATCATCAATAAAAATAAATAAAAAATGAAACACATATATTAAAAAAGTAAAGTAGAAGTAAATATTACAACTGCAAAGCAAAAATAAAGAGGAAAAAATAAATATCTACTCTGTAAAGCAATAATATACCTAAAGAAAATTATAAAATAAAATCAAATTATATACATAGTATTGCCCTGAAAGAACAAAAAGAAGTTGTAAAAACACATACAACATATCAACAACACTTGACAACCAAAAACAAACACCTATTTTCCTTGACAAAACTCAAATTATGGCCGTTTTTAACATGTTAACATCAAGTTATGATCTGATCACAACAGTTAAAAACTTAAATTACCATAAAACTTCAAAAGATTATATTAGCAACGCGACAAGTCAAATGCAGACTACACATAACACAAAATGTAAAAGAAGAACAAAACCACACGTATACGACGCCAATTTTAGTGTGACATAACCAGTAAATGCCACTTTAAAAGGCAAGTTGTACGTCTTTTGGGTATTTGACTGTTAATATTGAAGAACCAAAACCCGTAGGTGTACAAAAAATTTGTACTAAGCCACCAGTACGTATACTGAAAATCTCGTACTAAACCGCCAGTACGTATATTATCCACAAAGCCTACGTCCATATAGGTCGCCATAGACTGGTAGTAACAAGTTCAGTGGTAATGAACAGGTATACTCCTACCACCTTCTCGTAGATACCATTTGATCAACAAAAACGACCCAAGTTGTTAAAGAAGACATTCATTTCACTACCAGGTTATCATCAATAGTACTCTTCCTTCAATGACCAATGAGAGTTCGGTAGTTGAAGTGCTAGTTTGCGTAGAATCGAACGAAACGCATACGAATCCTTCGGTTTCACCTTGTTCTAAAACAATATTAAGAGCTGAAGATCAATTCAAAATACGAATTTTTAAATACCATGTTTTTTTAAATATTCAGAACGCGCCATTATTTTTGCATCAAATAAAAACCCTCAAAAACTGTATAAAACTCACCTTCCTCTACTAAAAACCCCAAAAAAATATTTTTAAATAAAAACCAACCTTAAACTTATTGAGAAGCTCTCCAGTAGTAGCTCTGCCATTTCTGGAGACAAAGAACTGTCTGATCTCTTCGGCTAGACTTTCGTACTCATCACCCAACGCATAGTCTGGTTTTTTCTGGTTGCGGTTCATTGATGGGTACAACTGAAATAATTTAACTTATAAAAAATTTGCCAATATCCTACAAAATAAAAAAATTTAACACGCCCAAAAATCAAAATTACCACTCCTAATTTTTTTCCAAGGTCCTTTCCAAACTAATAAAAGCCATTTATAAATCCCCCCCCCCACCTACCACAGCCTCATCGTTTTGATCCAGCTGATTCTCGACAACAACGTGATCGTCCATTTGCTCGGCTCTTCTTCGCTTGATCTCTGTAAACAGTTCCTTGGACGATAATGCGTTTCCTTCGTTTTTAAAGCCGCCGTTAAACATGTTCGGCAATTTTCCATCGTCTTCGTCTTCCTTCTCCGATTCCTCGTCGTTTATGATTGTGCGTTTTCGGCCGAAAATCGAAGTCGTCGCTTTTTTGGGTTGTTCGTCGGCGCAGGCGTGGCGGACAAAGTCGGTGTGGCGTTTTCGGCTCATTTTTAAGACTTCGGCCGCTCTCTTGGCTACTGTGTCGGCATGAGCTTCGACTAAATCAATGTCGTCGTTTCGGCCGGTTTCGCCGATAATCTAAAAAGGTACGGCATTAAAATAAGCAAGTTGAACTCTTATTCTTAAACCCTAATATCCTCCTCCTAACCCCCATAACCCATCAAAAATCACCCACCTGATCATGCCGTAAAGCTGAATGAACTCCAGCATTCTTCAATAAATGACTAAGAACGAATGCATCTTGTTGTTCGTGCTGTTTCCGCTCTTTTACTTCTTTTTCTTCTTGTTCTTTTGGTGGTCGGTACGCTTTTTGTTTTTTCAAGAACTTGATTTCAAATTTGCCATCTAATAATCTCTTCTTTTTAGACTTTTTGGACTTATGCTTATCATCACCTTTAGTTTTGCTTTCACTTCTACTTGTTTTACTTTTCTTTCCATCTTTTTTGCTTTCTTTTCTATTACTTTTACTTTCTTTTTCGTTTTTTCTGTCCTCTTTTTCATTGTATTCATCTTCTTTATCATTTATCTCCCCCTCTTCAATATTTTCCACACTTTCTTCATCATTAACTTCACTATTCTTATCGCCACTACTACTACCCTCCTTCACATCATCTCTTCTAATAATCCTAGCCTTAAGTGGATGATTGTCAGGTAACTTATCAACCTTGGCCTTCATTTCCTCATCTAAGTCTTCATAAACGTAGGTCGTTTGTTCCCCTAGATCAGCCACCATCTTCTGTGCCTTTTCCCACAACTGCCTCTTGTAATCATCTGTCAATTCAATCTGAAACTCGGCTTCTTCATCCTCTTCATCTAACGCCATCTTTTCTGGATCTTTCTGCTTCTTCTTTGCATCTTTCTTCTTTTTCTTGGCTTGTTCATCAAAAAAGTTTCTCTTATTAACTTCCTTGGTTTCTCCATGGAAAATAGCACCAGTTTCCGTCTCACAACTTCCACCATCACCAAGTTTGAACAATTCATATAGGTCGTTAGTTTTGACAAATCTTCTTTGTTTCGGATTGACCAAAACTCTGTCGCTCAAAAATTGTTTGAATACCTGTCTTTGATATATTTTCTCTTCGATCGTGCCAGAAGTCATAAGTCTGTAGATGGTGACTTGACGGTTTTGACCAATTCTGTAGGCTCTTTCTCTTGCTTGAGCATCAGTTGATGGGTTCCAGTCTGGGTCGAAGATCAAGACACGATTGGCCGCAGTTAGGTTAAGACCTAAACCGCCAACTCGAGTTGTTAAGAGGAACACAAAGATTTCTGGGCTCTAAAACCAGTAATATACTAAAAAAATTTTTTAAATACATCACTAAATGCCAAAAAAGCCCTCACTCTATAGTCCCTAATCCGACCTTCACAAAAATCCTACATTTGTTTAAAAAACAACCCAAACCTACCTCATTAAACCTCTTGACCATGCCCTGTCGCGCTCCAATCGGTGTACCACCATCCATTCTCAAGTAGTCGTATCCTTGAGATAGTACCATCTTCTCCAATATCGTCAGCATCTGTTTGCTTTGTGTGAACAACAAAACCTTATGTTTTTGTTGCTTCCACAACCCTAGCAAGCTTTCAGCTACACTAAGCTTTCCGCTTCTTGAACTGTCACCAAAATCCGATTCTTCAGTTGATTTGCCCATTCTGGCTCCTGGAGATCCTGTTACAAGATCGGGATGATTACAAAGCTTTCTTAGAGTTATTAGTCCAGCAAATGGGTGCATTTGTCCGTTTAAGACGGAGCGGCATTCTCTGGAGCTGAGGTATTCTTTGTAGAGGTTTCTTTGGTATTCGGTGAGATCACAAAACAGTACCTAAATCATAAATAAATACATCAGTCAAAACAATAGCTAAATTATCAAAACGAGCAATTACGATAAAAAAGCAACACAAAAGCCAAAATTACCTGTTCAGTCTTTTCTGGTAAATTCAGCACCATTTCAACGTCCTTCTTCATTCTTCTCAGCATGTATGGATTGATGGCATCTCTAAAATTTAAAATATTTTAAATTTTAATCTTGCATTACCTAAAGCAATAAAAAACAAAAAAAAATTTTTAAACTTCAGTCTTAAACTCTCATTTTTATCCAAGATTTCAAAAAACCTTACCGTAAAATACAAGCACACTTGTAAGCCACTCTGAGCTGAGTCTTCGAAGCCGAAGCCAATCCACCTTGTGTTATTGGTATCGCAAATCGATCGTTGAATTCCTTTAAAGCTCCTAATAGTCCTGGATAGACAAAATCAACCAGTGACCACAACTCTTTCAAGTTGTTTTGCATTGGCGATGCTGACAACAAGATACGATGAGGTGTTCGAAGTTCCTTCACGGCTGTGGTTACCTGGAATAGCAAAATTATAAGAAATGGTACTTAAAAATCAAAAATTAAAGCTTAACACACCTTTTGACCAAAAAGTAAAAAGCAGTATGACATAAAATTCAAAACCAGAAATTTTAATAGTATAAAAAAACGTCCACCGGTACCTATAAATACCCCTAGCGTACTTGCATTTTACCATTATTACCCAAAAAGTACACTTTATATCCCAAAATCCCATAAAAAACTAACTTTAGTATCTGGATTCCTTATTTTATGTCCTTCATCCAATATAGCGTAATGCCAATGAATTTTAGTCAGCTTCTTGTACTCGCTAGTGAATGTTGAGTATGATGTTACAATCACCGTTCCTGTACTGAAAAACAGCTATTTTACTAAACCAAACATTATAAATATTGACAATACACTTGTTTGCCACAAAACCTAAAAAAAGTTCCAAATTAACCTACTTCACAGCCTTCTGAGCAATATTCAACAACTTTCCCTTGTTCGAAAAGTGAGGTGAAGTTGAGTGAAAAACCACAACTCGGCATTTCGGAAACCACGTATTCAATTCCTTTACCCATTGAAAAATCAGCGTAGCCGGACATACGATCAAACTTGGACCAAGTCCTTTGAATTTGAATATTTTGGAAACTTGATTCGTTTCGGAGATCGTTCTCAACAATATTGCCATTTGTATTGTTTTGCCTAGACCCATTTCGTCAGCCAAAATTCCTCCAACATGTTGCTTGTGAAGTTGTAGGAGCCAGCGAACACCCGTTTTTTGATACCCAAAATTGTATTTTTAGTACAAAAATTTTTTTGGCACTATCAAGTTCATACAAAAAGTATTATACGTAAATTGATACTAAAGATTAGTAAACGTGAATTAACATTAAAATAGAACAACCCCTTACTTGTATAGTTTATCCCACACAACAGAAGAAACCTTGTAACTGTCCAAGATTTCGTGCTCTCCACTGTCCAAGTCGTTTGGTAAACCTTCTTTTTGCAATTTCTCTTGTTCATCTTGATATATTCTAAAACAAAAGACTTAAACCAGTAAAATATATAACTAAACAAACCCTGAAATACAGCTTAAAATCTCAAAAAAATCGACATAATTTGCTTTAAACTCCTTTTAATCAACTTATACCTATAAAAATCATCCATTTTTAACTAAAAGTAAACTCATTATATGCCTATCAACCTGTATCTACAAAAAAGCTTGTCTTTTTTAGTTTATTGCCAATACGAAGTTTTTAAAGTGTTTTTCCTAATCCGATATCCCATTTTGCACTAAAATTTCAACAAAATAATTCAAAAAACATACGCAATCCTGTCTAAAAAGTCATCTTGATCTCCATCATCTTTGGCCTTCAATCTGCTTGTCCTAGCCTTCTTAACTCTCTGTTTTTTCGAAGTTTCGATAATTTCTTCTTCATACTCACTCGACGCCGTGCTTCCATAGTATTCTTCAGATTCTGATTCATCTTCAAATAAGCTCTTTTTAGCGCCAAATAATGCTTTAGATGTTGACGGTCTATCAAAATTAGAGGTATATCGAGTCAACTTTGAGATTCTATTCAAATTGTTCTTGTTTTTGTCCAAATTCTGAGAAAGTTTTAATGTTTTGGAAGTAATTTGATCTTCCTTGGCTTTCTGTTGTTGAAGAAAATCAAATGGTGTCAGTTCACCGGTTTTGATAGCTGAATCTGCATCTAGAAGGTTGTCGACTCCTTTTGATGTTGATGGCTTCGAATTAAGCTGTTCTAGTGCCGATTCCGCCTAAAAATTAATTTACAATTTATAGCATTTTCCTGATATTAATATAAGCAAAACCTTCAAATCTTAAAGAAAATTATCCTAAAATTAACCTTATAGTCTCAAAAAGCAATTATAGTCCCTTTTCTATCAAAAACTTTTTTCATATAGTGCTTGCTACCTAAACATTAAAAAAACTTAAAAAATTACCTGATTGATAAGTCCCCGTTCCAAATCGTTGGCATTATAAGCCACAACTCCCCCTAACTCCTGTTCAAAACTATTCTGCTGAATCTTTCTTCGATCCAAAACATCCGATACGACTGGTCGATCCAAGACCCGTTCATCCTCTTCCTCAAACTGTTTCGGATCTTCTTCCACTTTATCCTTGTTTTCTTCTTCGTCTGATTCAAACGGATCCATTTTTGTTTATTACCCTTTAAAACAGCTTATTTTAGGCTTTAAAAGTAATATTCTATACAAAGTAATATAAACACGCATTGTGAATTAAAGCAATATCTATATATATTAACCTATCTGAACGCGAATAAAATATAAATGCAACTTCTCGAAAGTGTAAAGAACATAACACATGTTGGGAATCAAAACCACTAACCATATATCATACTCTTTCCAATAGAAACATCATCTTCATATAAAAACTGTCTAAAAACAAATTTAAAAACACCTTTAAAAAGTCTATTTATACTTCAGTTGATGTTGTTTTTAAGTCTAAACCTGCATTTCTTAACTTAAATTCTTAAATTTTCGTTTATTTAATAGCTCCACATCTTCTCCTTCTCTCAAAAAAACTCTACTTTGTTAAATTGCCTTATTCCCACTGTTTTTCGATATTACACTAGCCATCTTGATATCCAAAGCAAATTAATTAATTTCACGTGTTAAAGTGCAGGATTTCCCAACAATATCTGTTTGCCTTCAGCTCTCTACAAAACGCTCTTGCTCAAAATTCCCTCATCTCCTCGAATACCCTTACCAAAAAACACCTTATCACGACGGGCCTATGTTATCATTGATATCTAAAATCAGAAAAAAACACATCAAAAAACAACAAAAATCACCATTGGCTGTTGAAAAACCCGGACAAAGAGAGTCTTTTGCAGTGGCCGGCGGGGCGGCCGTTTGGGCTGTTCATTTCGAATTGCGGCCTGATATTATCCATGTTACACATCAGATGGCTGCAAAAATTTAAATTTACGCAAAAAAAGTGTAAATGAAAAAAGGGAACGGAACGATGGTGGGTAACGACAGCACACACGCACACTCCACCCCAACGTTCCTCCCTCCTGCTTACTCTTTGGCGAGCGTGCGACAAAAATATTCGAGGTTTGTGGCGTTTCGCGCATTTTTGCGCCGCGACGACACTATTGATTGGGTGGAGTAAAGAGAGACAGGGAGATGAAGAACACAGAGTTGTTTTTCCAAAACAAATGGATTAAAATGCAGTAAACAAACATGCATAAAAATTATGGACAAATTTTATACATACTAAAAAATATTTTGTCGTTTTGTTGAATGAATGGCCTCAGGAAATGGCATTCCTCTCCGCGGCCTTTAATGTTGTAAAGTACGGTGGTTGACTTAATCAAGGAATGTTTAGTATTCGATACATAGAAAGAGGAAGGATGTAAAGTACTTTCGAAAAACAAAATTAGATTATATAATCACAAAATGATTTAAAAATGTTGTAAGACCCAATATTGTTTTCCTTAATTACAAAGTAACGTAGTTTAGCCATTTGCTTTTACAATTTATTAAATTGTTGCACTTTGCTGTAGCTCAACTAATTATCAAATTTTATAATAAAATTTTTCCATATAATCCACGTTATTTAAAATCGTATTTTCAAAAATTAATTATGATTTATTACAATTCAAGTACAAAACAAATATGTACAATTTTCAGTATAACATACAATATACAACCTTGATAAAAAACGATCACAACTTGAAATTTGATAAAATCCTCTTTTCCCAAAAATGGCATAACTTACTACATTCCCTTAAAAATGGAAACTGTGCGACTCGATAAGACATTATTTACTAGGCATGCTAACAATAATAATCGAATAAAATTTTTAAAATCTACATTACCAGTATGCCCTTGTAGTAAAGTTCGTTAAGTTTACCAACAGAACATTGAGCTTTCCTTAAATAACTACTATAACAAATATCAAAAATCGTTTTAAAAACGCATCATTCTATGTATTTCTTGCCTTGTAAGCTCAATAGTAATAAAACTGATAATCAAGATCAAACTTAATAATAAAACGACCTAAACCAAATATAAAACCATGATCCGTTTCAAAAGTACCACCAGCTATCAAAGCTTCTACTATAATTACTACTACAACAACGTTAAACTACTGCGACGTCGACGGATTGTGAGGATTTTGCGATTTCAAATGTTCGTTGATAGTTTGAATATAAAACTGGGCAAAACTTCGAGAATTGTGAAAGGTCACGGGCAAATACTGGCTAATCAAGTGGACGAGTTCCGCTTCGATTACACTTAAGCCGGGTGGCAGTTTGGAGCCGTTGTTCTTCATGGATTCGGGGCCTTGAAGAATGGTGCTGATGATGGTCAACATGCGATCATCTAAAGTATTTCATAATAAAAGTGGTATCCAAAAATTGAAACAAGCTAAAAACGGTCTTCACTAAAAGTAAAAAAAATCCAAAAAAAGATGTGAAGCATAATTTTAAATAAAAACTTACCAACCAGCCGTCTGACTGAATTGTTTTCGCTTTCGACCGCTGCAATCTGACGCTTCAGCAAAGCTGAGAAGTTTTCGTTCCATGTATCTTCTAATGATGTTGTTATTTGTTTATTACATTCCAAATACACCCTCTCTAATGATTCTTTAAGGGACCTAAAAGTAAACAAAATACTACAATATCAACTAAATATAAAATCATAATCAAGGCCAAAAATCTTGAAACAAAATGTGATAGTTAACTAACAAAGAAAACGCCAAAAGTGTCCAATAAAATTCAAATTTTATATAACTTTTACACTATGTCTCACAATTTCTTCTCTTTGACCAAACGTGTCACTCAAATAGACATACAATAAAGCTAGCAAACGTCATTTAAAAATGTTTTCTGAGCTCAAAAACAAAGTTTCTCAAAAAAGTTCATTCTCATTCTAAAAAACTTTCAAATTTCAAAAATAGATATGCCATCGTTAGCCCACCATCCCATCCCCGACAAACCATTGAGAAAAATCAACTTCAATGCCCCTTTTTCACCTTTACATCAATATAATTCAAAAAGCGTTGAAAATTCTAAAAATCGTGTCCACCTTCGTCAAAACCTACCCTTCATCCAAATCTACCAACAAAGCCAACAAGTTGTTCTTCAATCTAACTTTAAAATCCGTCTCTTCGCAAACTTTCTTTCCAGCCAGATTCGAAGCGATGAAAACTGAGGTCAAACAAATCGACAGCTTGAATTTTTCCTTCATCAACTTCTCCACCCTCAAAATGTCGTATTTTAGTGTTTCCGGAAATTGGTCGCCTTTTCGTTTCCCATCCAAAAGCCTAGCATAACCAATGGCTAAAATCTTATTCAGGTGTTTCTTGTTGATCTTCTCTGGCAATTTGTTGTCATCTGTCTGTTTCGACTGATATTCTTCAACAGATTCCGCTAACCAGCCTCGCGTTTCGTTTGCTAAGTCTGAAAATACGTTTTTTAGATACTTCTTTAAACTAAAATTAGTTTTTAAATCTGAATTTAAATTTTTATCCACAAAAAATTTTAAATTCAATACAACTTACGAGGTGAAAATTTGAGTAATTTTAAAAACTTCTGAGATTCCATTTGAACAGAATGTTGTAAAATTTGATGCCTGTTGGCCTTGACCGTGTAGTTCAACATGTCATTCTTCATTTCATCTATCAATTTATGTACACCCCTAAAATTCATTTACTTATACTAAAATTCATTTACTTAAACCAATATCATGTACATCCCCAAAACAACCTATGATAATATAAAACATTGAGTTTGATCCAAAGTTCAAATTAAATGACACAAATAAAAACGTGCATGAACAAGTCGACCAAATTTGTTTCTTTCTTCAACTTCAAAACCTCAGAATCTCGAATTGGAGCACAGATCTTGCCTAGCTTCGCTACAAATTCGTTTACAAGACCGACAAAGTCCAAACAGTTTTGTTGTTGTTGCCTAAAATTGAAAAAATAATACATATTATTACCCAAAATAAAATCAAATTAAAAGTCTATATGAAATGTTAAAGAAAGATTGAAAATCCCAGAAACCCACCTCACAGGCTCATCCGGATCAAATGTGTCAAATATTTTAGCGGAACTTGGAGTAGTTGCTTCTAATGCCAAATCTTTCAGCTCCGAGTATAATGAGAAGAACGGCTGATAATTTGGAGGATCTTGAGCCAACTTTTCACGTAGAATGTCATAAAAAGCTTTTCGCCCCATTTCCTCAACCTTTTTCGACAGGTTTGTCGAAGACTTCTCTTTTAGTGTCTCTACTGTAAAGTTTGGATCAAGTACAATCTCATGAGCTATAGCCATATTCTTCAATTCATTATTCATCTGCTGAAACTCCTTGAACTGATCTAGCGTTAGGTATTTGTGGGGAGAAGCGCCTGAAAACAAAATTTCTTTTGATTTAGCGACTTTTTCGTAAATTTAATAACAGATTTTCTATATGATTGTCAAGTCCAAAATACCTAACCTAAAACAACAACAAAACAACGAAAGTCTTACCAGCCACAAACATCGGCAACGGACGTCCACTTGGTTCGGCATTTAACGTGCTATCTATCGAAAGAGGCTCCGAAACCTCGGTTCTAGCTTTCTTGATTGTCGTTTCATCTGATTCTGTCACTTTGTCACCATGATCTTTGTAGCTATTTGAATTACCATCGTGTGACATGAAAACAAGTCAATAGCAACTTTAAGTAAGTTTATGCGAGAATTCTCTTCTATAGAAACAACAAATTTTTCTTTACGAAATAAAAAATAAACGTTAAGCCAATCAATTTTTAGCATTACAATGTTTCGTATTGGGACTAAATTAGGGTAAAGATTTCGACAAATTTGGTCAATTTTTAACGCATAAATTATTGGATTTGTTAAAAAATTTTATTTTATATAATTTTATGGATTTTTGCGGATATTTTAGGCACTTTATAATAAGCGTTTTACGATTTTGAATATATTTTAGTTTTTATATTATTTTAGACCTCGATAATCTTGCGCAAATGAACCCGGATCTCATCGATTGCCGCCATATCGTCTTTTACGAGTTTAAGCAAAACACAAGTCCAACAGAATGCACAAGGAAGATCAATAATGTTTTTGGTGAGAGGACGGTCACATTTTCGACTGTGTTCCGTTGGTACCAAAAGTTCCAGAAGGGCGATTGGGACCTGTCAGTGAAGCCGAGGAGTAAGCAGTCCAAATTCTCGATAAATGCCAGGAAACGATTAGTGGAGCTGGTGAGGGAGAAGCCGAGCATTGATATATCGGAATTGGCGGACAAATTGTGCATTTGTATGGTGGTCGTGCAGCGAGAGCTTGACAAGATGGGTATTGTCATGGTGAAGGTAATTATTAATTGTATCTTACTTTGAAACAACTTTGGAGGTGTTTCAATTATAAAACTCGTTGAGAGTAATGTTTTACAACTTAAAAGAAGAGTAATTTGGTTTTGAATGTAGAGATACTTGCTATAATTTTTTTGAGTGTTTTTCTTTTGAAGAATAAAATGTTGAGTACAAGTTTATATATGTTATTATTTAATGTTTGCAAGTACAAACTATTTTTTGCAAGTATAAAGTGATAATATACGAATTCAAAGCGTATTTTACAACTTTAAGTCCTGCTTGATCTAATGTCTATATTTTAGGGCCGATGGGAACAGTTTGTTGATCTTGCCACCCCAACTCAGTCGCAAGGAGTTGAAGCTGAACCAGGGATGGTTTAATACAGAATATCGAGGTTTCTGTTCGAGATGCGGGTTCTTTATTTTGTTTTGATCTTACTAACGTTATTCAAGTAAATAGTTATTTTGTCTTTGATTGTTGAGGTTATTGATGTAGTTTAAGTTTGAAAACTACGGCTTATAATGATGGAAATAATCTTTTGTGAACAATATAGCAATTTATTTATAAAAATAATCCCAAGTTAGAAGATGATTGTTATATTCATGCCATTTACCCCATAGTAAATGATTTTGGTAATCATATCACTAATCCTAATTCAGTAAAACATAATTATAATATATGCATAATTTTAATCCCAAAGTAGTAAAAGCCAGCTAAAATTATGTCGGTAATCCCAAAGTAGTAAAACATACCCATAACCACACCACTAATCCCCAAGTAACAGCTCCTATAACAATATTACCGATGGTGAGATTAAAACGGCATTTTTGGGGCTGAAACCCAAGGTAATCCGTGTTTAAGCCGGTAATTACCTCTTTGGCGGAGTACGGTTTGTACGCCGTGCGTCAGTTGTGTCTTTTTGCCATTGTAGGTTGTGTTATCTTATACTAGATGGACGATTGCTGAACATACGGCGTGCGGATTCAACAATTATTCATAGTATAACATAGCCATCTACTAATTGGTTCAAAGGTATATATTATTGCGGAGGATATTTTTTATTAGTACTATAAAGTCTACTGTATACAATATTATAACCTTTCTACCTGTATTTATAGTACTTTAGGCTCTCATATTGAAGAAGGTACCAATATTCGTCCTATTACAGAACGTAATCACTGTATCTACTACAATATCAAAGAGCGTTTATTGTTATAGGCTGACGATATACAGCTTTATATTATTGTAGCCCAAAATTGCAATTATAAGAGCATTTCATTACATAATATTAAGGAACCTTTTCGCACATAACACAGTACCCATGGACCCAATATTCGACTACTGGAGCGGTGTAGCCGCGTTTTCCCAAACCATAGCGACAGTTGGTGGAGTTATCATGAACCTATCCTTGTTTGTATGCCTAAAGCTTGTACCATTGGGCGAGTTGAAAGTGTTTGTACCACTGATTATCGTACATTCATCAATCGACTTGACTCATGTGTTTCTTAATGCTATTGGAGTATTGGTAAGTATAGTGTGTTTGGTATGGCCTTGGGGATGGATTGGAATTTAGATGAAGGCTAGGTGAAAAATAAGATGCACGATAGGGTAGGGTAGGTATTCGTAGAGCACGGTGGGACTATAATAAGGTTATCGGCCATTTTTTCAGTCCAGTGCCCCAAATCTTATAAATAAAACGATATATTTTGAACCGTATTATTATAGACGAGTTAAAGTTGTAAATTTCCAAATATACATGTAACCTCAAGAAGAGAATGACTTGATACACATTTGTCGAATGGCATTTAAAGTAGAAATATAATTGTAGTCGTTTAATAACTTTTATAATAAAATAGAGTAAAGAAACATTGCCAAATTAAATGCTTTGCAGACATTTAATTATACCTTCCTTACAATTTAAATTGTAGTTCTAGGTTACAAATTAAAAATTGAACCTAAAACAAAAATTAAAGAAGTGTGTATACTGTAAATATATAATATATAGCAGTCCAATTTTAGAGAGCAGTCATCCACGATGGAAACCTATACCTAATTCTAACCGGCGCTCTTTCCGGAGCTTCTGAACCTTGGTTTTCAGTGTTGTTGAGTTCATATTTTTGGACAATCATCCTTGAGGCTATGATATGCACTATTAGCCTGTTTTATCGCTTCTTGTTGGTTTCAAAGTGAGTTTTACATTATCAGGTCAACTATAACAGGCCCACTATATTCAAATGCCTTTTTCCGTAAACTTTCCGACCAAAAAACCTCTTTTTAGTCCCAAAAATCGTATGTTTTGGAAGCAAATAATTGATCGCATATTTTCTTCCAGAGGTTTCAAACCTACTGTGTTTCTTGTCGGTGTTCTCACATTTTTATCAACCTTGTTAGCCATGATGCTTGGTCTAGTTTACTTCTTCGCCTTGGCCGACTATGGCACATCAGATGTTGAGGGAGCAAAAGCAGGCGAACTAATGCGACAACATGCATTTTGGAGAAAAAAGGTTTTCGACTATGCGGTGGTTAATACGGTAAGCTTTGTTTTAATTGATATAGCTTCTGGTCTAAGCTTGAGGAAATTGGTACGCGAGGTGGGAAAAAAAGTCGGCTTGAAAACTGAATTTCAAAAATAGCTTTTAACTTTAAAAAAACATTGTTAACTTTAACAGTGAAAAAAAACCTTTTAAAATTCTCAATATGTAAATTTTCAGCACCACAGCCAAGTCAGAGTGTTCTTCACCGTTGTCATTTTGATTTGTGTAGTTTGTTACACAGCTAGCGGCCTTTTTGCCATGAAAATTCGACAAGATATAATGAAGAAAAGAGCGGCCGGTATGCAAAACACAGCCACTATTAAAGTCAACCATGCTGCTGATAGGCTGCTTAGGGTCAATGTAAGTACAACATGTCATGGTTTTTAAAAGGGTTCGGAAAAATTCAAAAACATAAAACTTTTATTATAAATAAAATGGAAAATATCATATTTTGCTTACTGTAAGAGAGTATGATCATCTTTCATTTTGGTGATAATGAAAGTTTACATATTTTTAAATTTTAAAAATTTCACTCAAAAATTTTTCTAAACTAGAATAACTTCCATCCTTTCAGATTTTTGTCCCGATAATATTCTACTTAATCCCAGTCCTATTCCTCCTTTTTTATGCCATGTTCGACGTGAACCGGCCCAATATTGGTTATATCATTTCAATTCCTTATTGTTGGATGCCTGCAGCCAAAGCTTTGGGTATTTTATTGGTAATGCCATCATGGCGACGAGCTGCTCGTCAATGGTTGAAGGGTGAAAACGACCGGTCGAGACGAGGGTTGAACCCTCGTGGCCAGACCGTTCATCCCAAAATCTCGCATATCGAGGTTTCACAAACTTCTACAAAGGATCCAAGTACAAGATACTAGAGTTTTGTCCTCTTAAATTATTTTTTAATTACATTTTTTACATGTTATCCATGTTAACTCAATTTTTTACTTGTTTTTACATTTTTTTAGTTTGTATCGGTTCATCGTATTGAAAAATTTTTGTTGGTATTGGTAATTTTTTTATTAAGTAAACTATTGACAAAAAAAATCATTTTAAAACTGCGTTATTTAAAAATTACTTTTTTATACTTCTCTATTTTAACATGAAGCAACAAGCTTAATATAGGCCGAACAATGATTACTAAGACCCATTAAAAACCCACCTTCAAACCTTGATAACTGTAAAATTTATTGAAAAACAAACAAAATTGAATAAAATTGTATGAAACAATTAGCGAAAATAACAAAAAATGTTTTTAGAATTGTTTGTATAATAAAAAACGGCAACAATTTTTTATACCAGGCCTGAATCCTGAAGCTTTTGTTATAAGAGAAAACAGTAACAGATAAGAGACAAGGCGTTTGTTACAGTAAGGCACTTTGATTTCGCAAAAATTTTATAACTTTGCTTTTAAGCCGAAATTTGAAAGGATGGAATTAAATTTTAACCATAAATTCAATTCCCTCTTCCATCATCATACTCAATAAGACGAAACTGTAACGCATCGCCCAAATCTTCTCAAAATCAACAAATTAAACTAAAAAATAATAAAAATTTGTAAATAGCCTACTGTAATAAGACACAATTTACCTGATAAAACAACAAAAAAATCGTATTCAACCTTGTTATGGCCATTTTATTTTTTTTTATTCCATCTTCTCAATCTTATATTCCATCTTTACTTCAGTCTCTTATTCCATTTCCTCTTGTTCTTCTTCGAACTCGACTTCTGTCACTTTGGCCACCTTGTATTGAACAATTTTGTAGTCCGAGTTGGGACAGGCCGCGTTCGAAGGAAGATTTCGGATAATCGAGTTTGTTTCAAAGACATTCGTCAGTAATCGGCACAGTTTGAACTGAAAATGAGTTTTATAATTAAAAACATAGCGTCACATAATAAAAAATTTTAATTTTTGCTAAATTACATTGCTTACAATAAAAAAGTAAAAAATGCCCTTTTATTATACAAATATTAATATTAGAAACCTTTCAAATACTATTAATCCCCATTGACACTGATACTTATAAAAACCTCTTACCGTTTGTTTCAGACTGAACTGAATATCTCGAAGTTTCGTCAATTGTTCTTCATCTTTAATCCACAACAATTTGTCGGTTAAGCCGGTGATTATGAATAGAATCGTGTCCAAATTCTTAAATTACATTTTTATTAATCCTAAATTCTACATTTTTAATTATTAACGAAAATGTAACGTTACTATTGGTAGTAGCCAAATCCAAGAAGTAGAAAAACTGTCTTTATCTCCCCACAACTAAATTCACCCGCCTTCTTTCAATATAGCAATTATAAAGCAAGCTCTTACCCTATCAATATCGTCCTCTGTAGCCTCCCCAGAGTAAACATATTCCACCAGCAATCGCTCCAACAATTCGATAGCATCATCCACATCCAAAGCTTCGATCAATTTTGTTGGGTTCATTTTTGGAACAGACTTTTTAACAATAATCTTCCGGCAAAATTCGTCATTTGCGGCGGCTTTTGCCAACTGTATGAATGTGTCTTCTAATAGTAAAACTGACGGTTGTTCTAGTAACACTTTAACGACCGGTTCGTTAATGGCCGCTGATCCTGAGGTCAGTTTTTCTGTTAGGAAATCGTTTATCGCCCTGAAGTTAATTGGTTTAAACAAACAAATGCCTTCACAAGTAAATTATATTGTTTTAAATCTAAAAATAAAAGTAGAGCAATCCATTAAAAAACAATCATCTCAATATTAATACCCAATCCTTACCACATATCAAAAAAGCGCTTCTGTACCAACCCTTTTAACACATCTTCTGCCCCATCAATCTGCCAATAGTAACTCAACGCCTTTACGGCTCGAACTTGTTGATCTCTGGGCAACCTTTCTTCCAATAACGGATTAAAATCCAAATTGTCTTTTAGTGTGCTGATAAATTCGGCAACAATGTGAGAAACACCGTTCTGTTCCTTTGATTGGCTAGCCGACTTTCTTCTCGCTCTGCCGTTCTTCTTTGGTGTTTCTTGAGACTCCACGGTAGACGAAGAAGCTTTTGCGTTGAAACCATTGGCTGTTGATACCTAAAAATGTTAATTTTAGACAAATTGTAGTAGACGTTAATAATTGAAACACATTCTGCCTCAAAAACCATCAAAACTTATCTAAAAGCATATAAAACATCAAACTCATACCTTTAGAATCAAGTCCTTGCATTGTCCAAGCTTAGGTTTTTTTGGTTTCGAACCTTCATCGAATTTCGAAGAAAACTTAATCTGATTATTTGCCTTTACTGGTTGAAACTGTGTGTTAAAAGTCTTTGCAGTTCTTCTGACGGTCGGTAACCTTACTGGCAATACCGCGACGTCTTGATCGTTCTCCCATACCAAGTTCTTCCCTTCATAGTCGTAAGAAAACTGCTGCGGAGGGTCGAAATGTGGCCATTTCACTTTCTTTGAGCCAAGTTCTTTTTTAGACGCTGGCTCCATGAGCTTCACGTTCAACTCCCATAGCTCTAGAAAGCGTAATTTTAATAGCAAGTATTTAAAAAACAAAAAAAAATTTACAAAAAATAATGTTTTCCTTTAATTTTCACCTCGTAAACATAACATGTATTCTTTAAAACTAAAAACCCTCCCAAAATATATTTATTATCTAAAACAATAGCTCAAATGTCTAACAAAAACGTTTCACTTACTTTTAGCCGGCTTATAATCGACGGCTTCGAAAACTGCAACAAAACTGTTCGGTAGATCCACGGTAACCGGTTGGAAGTCAAGTACCCGTTCAGATAAACGCTGATCCTTCTCCACCATTTTGAATTAACAATAACAACAAATTAAAAAAGACAAAAATACCGGTAACAATTTTAAAATCAACAAAAGTACAACAAAGATGAGGTTGTTCGCTGAAATAAAGTATTGTTAACATTATGTTGAAAAAAGTATAGCGATCATCACGGTACATAATTCACGTCGCGATATACAACAATAGCAATATAAAGTATACGAAAAATCAACGCCCAAACTAAAAAATAGCAATAATGTTATAAAAGGTAGTGCTCGTATTAAAACGTAATTAACACAAAAAACACAAAAATCGTCAATAATTTATAATACACATCAGTTAATACTCTTATTAAAATCAAAGCTTATTAACAATATATACATCAACTATACGTCATGCTATAAATTACTCTTTAGTATGCTTCCTTTTTCGTCGTTTTCGACTTGTTTCTTGTTTAATTTTGTCCACAACAAGGACTTTTTTAACGTTGTAGCCCTAAAATAATACAAAATCAGATTAATTAAACAACAATACAAGTTTATTATACAAGTAATAAAAGACTTTATTATAATTTCTAAATGTCAAAAATATGTAAATTAAGCCTAAACCCACCTCAATCTTAAAATTATCGTCAAAACTCCAAATCAATACCCCACGTTGAGTATTGCCTTGTGACAACCTTGATATGCCAATGGTTTTACACCCAACATCCTTTAAGCAAGCTGTTAGAACCTTGATACTACTGATCTTTCCAACCATAGATGTAAAAACCTTCACCTTGTCTTTGAATAAAACACTTTCATCCACTATAGCTTTGACAAACTGTACTTCACCACCAGATGTCATTAACTCGTTTCCTTTCGCTACTGTAATGCTTCTTGGCGCAGATACTGTAGGCTCGACTGTGTTAGTGTAAGTTCCTTCAGAGTTTCTCTCGAATTTCTGAAATTATTTAAATTGAGACCCGTGCACCACTTTTGATACTTTAGGAAACGCGTATTCAGAAAAACTTTTATGAGTTTTTCGACAACATAAAGCTATCAAAATTCACGTGAAATCTTACCAAATTTCCCTCGGATTCATAAAAGAATGGTGGATTACACATGCAAAAGTCCAATTTGTCCACTTGTTTTAATGGTTCTTCAAAAAACTTCTCGTTTTCAATCAATAATATTCTAATTTCATCGTATTTAAAATTCTTCTTTGTTTGTTGACAAGCCCATTCTACTGATTTTTCATCAACATCTGTCGCTATGAATCTGTACCTTAACAACTTTGCTCCTATCAATGGGTATATACATGATGCTCCTGTGCCTAAAGCATTATTATTATATTCACATATACAATACAATTATTATACCTAAAATTTTTAGCAAAGATGTCTAAAAGATAGATAAAAACATTAAGATTTTGGCTGCATCATCGTATTATACTTAATTTTAAAAAAATCAAACACACCTACCTATATCCAAGCCAGTTACATTCTCAGTAATCCCATTGGCCCTCAAGATATCATCTATCAATAGTAGGTAATTTAGTCTTTGGGGGATTCTAGGTATCAACGACCCTGACATAAACTCAACGTCAAGTTCAAAATCCTTCTTTAGTAGAATTTCTGACAACAACTTAACAAATTGTTCGTTTCCGAAGTCACCAGATACCTAAAACCATATTGTTTTATGAAAATATAAGAATGCATCTGTCCAAAAAAAACCAGATAAGTCAGAAGAAATCTTCATAAAACTACGTAATATTGATTAACTAAGATACCTAAAAAAACAATATAAAGAAAAATTCCCTTACATTTCCGGTTGTTGACAGCTTGCAAAGCTTTCGAAACTCTGGATACTTCAAAGCCAGCTTTTTAAAGTCAGGTGGATGCTTTTTATACATGTTTCGATCATGCATTTTATCATTAAATGCCATCACTAAAACAATATTATAATAAACAAATAAGAAATTATTTTTAAAAAACCCAAAAACCCTACTATATTAAAAATGAAATTCGAAGTTTCATCTATACTGCCATACACAAAGTTATGAACAAAGATTTTTCTTTAATAATATTGCAAAGTTAAATAATATTACTTTAAGCATTAATATTTTCCATAAAACTTTAATTACGCAAAATGTTAAACAACAATCAAACAGACTTATATTAAGTCCGCAACATATGTCTTCCCTCAACAAAAACGTGTGATTTCCACTAAAAAGCAAAACGTTTCAAATTCTGCCTTTTTCATTATTATTCACGCCTAAAACCATTAAAAAATGAGAAAAAACTGGAGAAATTACATTACTGTTTACAAACTAGAATTATTAGCTAACAAAGAAAAGAAAAAAGCTACCTTCAATTTTTCGGCTGTTTTGTTATATTTTCAAAAGTCCTCAAACGAAAAACTGATATGTGTCGGAATGCCAAAACAGATTTCGACGTTTTTCTTGGTCGGGTTTCGGAAGAGAAAGAGCGAATTGGCTGCAAAGTGGATTGGAATATACGAAACAATTTTTGTTTCATTGTAAGTTATATTTAGGCAATAAATTTTGTTATTTTGAAATATGATTTGAACAGTAACTTGTCTTTTTATGGACTTTTATTGATTTTAGTTAATTTACTCTTTTTACAGCGTATTTGTATGTAAACATATAAAAACCTTTTCAGAGTAAAGCTTGGGCGCACTCGTGTTTCTCTTAACATTTAAAAAAACTCGACTCTGACATGGCCGTTCCCACTATACGTTTGTTCGTTTGTGCGTCACATGCGATAAGGAGTATTGAGCCGTCTGTTCCTTTGCCAAATCGATTGGATGCATAATGAGAAATGCTGCGGCTTGATGATAACTAATTGATAAAGTAAGTTAATTTGACCATTTAAAATACTTTCTACCTTTTAGAAAGCTACAAATGGAACTTTTTTCCTTCATTGGCCATGAAGAACGCGAAAACTTGAGGGACAAACGATGACGGTGCATAAGAGCCATGTGCTTGGCAATTTTGCTTGTCAGCCATTGTAAAGACTGTTAGAGGCTTAGCTTTTACATAATAGTCTAGCTAACTGAAGTTACGAGCTTTACTACATTGTAGGCAAATGCAGTTTAACTACTACAGAAGATATAGCCAACAAGATAGTCGTAGATAGACACATTGAGGTATACTGACAAATAATAGAGTTTATACGTTTTATTTTAGCTATAAGTGAGCTAATGGACATCTTACTTCTACTAAACAGTCAGCCAAGAGAGTTAACTTCAGAATACCGAGGTTAGAATACTGAAGAACAATTACTACATAGTAATATTATATAGACATATTAGTTTTACATGTTGAAATGGTTAATTATTATATTACTAGATATTATAGTCGTGAATTTAAGTGATAAATAAATACAACATAGTATTTTAAATAGTGAAGATTTATATTAAATAGTAAACATAAATGTCAGGTAGAGTTACGATGAGCAAAAATACTGTAAGGCAGTAAAGCTTGGTTCTAAATGTTGTGTTGGTGTAATTGAAGGTATATAAGAGTTCAATGACAGTTCGAGGAACGATTTGTGTATTAAACATACTGGGTAGGCCTAGGCCAGTACTAGGTAGAGAATTATTGTTTCTTTGAGTTTAAACATGAGTTTCATGGATGGCGAACCTTGCACTGATCAAGATACTGGGTTGGAGTGCTCTTACAGTAAGTTCCTTTTCTAAGGAATGCAGTCTTCCTTTTGTCAATGTCCATTAAAAACTTGAAAAGAGTTGTTATAGTACAGTACGACATTTTTGTGTTTTTGGGTCATGTTTTGAGTTGAATCGAAAATTTTATATTCTGTGTGCTAACGCTTTGTTACTTATTGCTATAGAATTACATGTTTGGGATATAACATACAAAGAAGATCTAAACAATAATGTACTTCAATATCTTTTTCCGTACCGGTTTAAACTAAAATTTTTATAAAATATTTATTAACTATGGCTAAAAAATGTAGGCTGTCTTTTGAGACACATTTTGTAACACTGTAACGAAATCTGTAGCTCTTCTTTACTAAAAATGGTCTTTTTTAATTGCTGCAAAAAGACAGAAAATATTGTGAGTAATATAGCGTTTATCGGAAAATTTTTGCAAATTAGCTTATAAAAACAAGGTTCATTATCTTATCCTTCTTCGGCTTCTAAAAGGTTTCAAATTAATTTGAATAATTTTTGTAATTTTACGCGTCCCAGCGCGGAGTGCCTGATTAATCAAGAGAAATGCGCGTTGGCCGAAAAAAGTTTTACTCGCTTTTTTCCGCACTCTTCATCGGATTTACACAATCTTTAAAGTGAAAAAGTTGTCTGTCTGTGGTATATTTGCCTCAAAAGTCTCTCTGGTCTTCAGATGTCTAATTATTACAAATTCGAGGATGGGGTAAGTCTGTCTGGTTTTATTCTTGGGCATTTTATGCGGTCGTTTTGGGTAACATCGATTATTGAAGTGTCTTTGCTTGAAAAGGTATATTATATTGAAGTTGGCTTGAGATTGGAGGGTTTTATTATAGTCAAAACATTGATTTTTGAATGTGAAGATTGCTCTTTCTTGGACTATATGCGGTTCTCATGTGTAAAATCGAACTGATACCTTTTTGGTTTACGATGTCTGCGTCAGTAAAGCTCTGTCTAGTTGAAAGCGTTTATTAGGTTACGAAGCTTGTGTTTAATATCTTATATTACATTTCTTGTTAAAGTTTTGTCAAGGTGCGCAGGTATCTCTCTTTTTAGCTTTTGCAAATATTTTTTATTTATGACTGATAAAACTTTGTTTTACGACGGCTAATATTACTGTTAAATTTTTAAGGTTTATAAAAAATTAATTTTAGAACTTGAGTATGACTGAAGAAAAGCCCTCTGTCGTCGAAAATGACGAGCCGGAGCAATTCCGCAAACTATTTATTGGAGGTTTGTCATTAAGTACAACAGATGAAGGACTTCGTGAGTTTTATGGTCAGTTTGGTAACATCGTGGACTGTGTTGTTATGAGGGATTCAGCGACAAAGAAGAGCCGAGGATTTGGATTTGTTTCTTACAATGCCAAAGCTGAGGTAAGTTTTTTTTTGTAATTTTTTGATTGGTTTAGGTATTAAACGAAAGAGATGGTTGAAGACTTCAAGGATGTTTTTCAATAAATTTTTGTCGTTTTAGGTTGATAAATGTATGGCCGCCCGGCCCCACACAATCGATGGTAAACAAGTGGACCCAAAACGTGCCGTCCCCCGTGAACTTTCGTCTCGTGGTGAAGCCAACGTCTCTACGAACCGATTATACGTTAGTGGAGTACGTGAAGAGCACACCCAAGAGGCATTCCAAACTCACTTCTCGGACTATGGTACAGTGACCAAGGTGGAAATCATCACCGACAAACAGACTAACAAACCACGAGGATTTGGCTTCATAACATTCGACGACTACGATGCGGTCGATAAGTGTGTGTTGAAGAAGTCGCACATGATCTGCGGGTTCAGATGTGACGTGAAGAAGGCATTGAGTCGGGATGAGATGGCACGAGCACAACAATCTGAAAGAGATCGTATGGAACGTGGGTCGAGAGCTGGAGGACGTGGACCACCGGGTCGAGGACCTCCAGGCGGAGGTTGGGGACCACCAAGAGGACAAGGTGGACCAGCTGGCAACTTTAGAGAACCACATGGCAGCGGTGGTTATGGTGCTCCATGGGGCAACCAAGGCGGCGGTGGTGGTGGCTGGGGACAGCAGGGAGGTAAGGATTCGAAATTAATTGTTTTTGGATTATTACTTATTGCTTATCGAATATAACCGTATAATATTTAATTAACCTTACTTTTATCACAGTTTTATCAAATATATGGTATTTTAATAGTTGAAATAAGATATGTTTTTCAAATTTATTATTATAAATACTAGTTTTACTTTTTCAGGATACGGTGGCGGAGGCTACGGCGGTGGCGGCTACGGTGGTGCACCACAAGCCCAAGGCAGCTGGGGCAACGAATCCTGGGGAGCCGGTCAAAGCGCAGCAGCCGGCGGCGCATGGAGCGGCGGCCATGGTAGCTATGGTGGTGGCGGTGGCTACACTGGTGGATGGAGTTCCGGCGGACCCCCAGGCCGAGGTGGACCACAAGACCGAGGCTATTAAACCCAAAATGAAGTGTAACTATTCTCTCATCATCGTATCTCCTTTTACAATAACATTGTTTTGTTCGTGAATCCTTTTATCTCAACATTATTCCATCTTTTTTAATTCAATAAATTAATTAATATACAGTTTGAGGCCTTGTTTATTGATAGTTGATATTGTATGAAGATATGGAATTTTTGTTTAAACATGAAACTGTATAGACCTAAAGGGATTACCAAATAATTATGATAGTTTTGTTTTTTTTCAATAGAAGAACGAACCTTTTGTTTTTTTACGTAAAATATAATAAAATATCTAGACGATTGTTTTTAATGTGTCTAATGAGACAGGCGTAAATACATGAATATTTTATGTATTTTTATGACAAAATAATTAACTAGTTTGAAGAATTGACAATTTAATCAAAATGCGTTTCAAAAATGGCTCGTAAGTTATTCAAAATTGAAATTCCACTAACGTTTTGACCACATTAGACATTTCTGGTTAATATATGTAGCTCATTTCGAAATCACAAATTTCGTTTTTAGGGATTAAAATGACATAGTGCGCAACCTGTACAAACAACGACATCCCTCCCATCTGTACAGACCCACTGACCTTTTTGATTGCAACTTTGGTTATTAAGCTAAATTTTGAAAAGTCTTTGGGATTTTATCGTAGTAAAAAGTCCTTTACACAATTTTGAGTTTTGGTCGATAAGTTTATAGAATTTGGTATCGAATCTAACTTTAAAAAAAAAGAATTGAAATTTGTAAAAATGACTTTTTATTTTTAATAAATCAAAAATGCTGTTTTCCTTCCATTCCAAGATAGCAAGACACTAATAGCTCTAATTATCAATAATTTTGTAGTATTGTAATGACTTTTTAGTAACCATATTGTTATTCTACTTATACATTTGCACATTAAGTTTATTGCTGGCATTTTAACGCATGAGCGGAATTTAATTGCTTCAGGCACTTTTTTCGTGTCAGAATTCGGAAATGCGTTGAGTAGTACGAAAATAGAAGTATCATATACGAAACTTTCTTGCATATTTTGTTACTTTTGAGCTTTTAGTAAGTCGATCAAAAATTACGTTTTTTTCAAAGACCAAAACGAACTTGTCATACCTGAGCTTACTTAAAAATTCTGCAATTTACTTTACCTTGCCCGACCCTTTTCTACCCAATTTACCCTTGACTTTGTCCTACCATACCTTTCTCTACCTTACCACTAACCTTACCCTCACTTTTTACCTCTTCCCTACCTTATCCCGCCCTTATATTAGCAGTACTTCTCCAAAGTAACGCAATTACCATTTTATTTTTTCCTCAAATTCGTGTCAAATTGTAAACCAGAGTAATAAGCAATGGCTATAGTTGGCCATTCTGTTGGATATCGGCCATTTTTCGAAGAAAAAAAGTAAATAAAATGCCGGTTTGGGAACGGGCGCGATGAAAGGGGATTTGTTGAGTTACTACTTTGATACTGCTATTTAAGGTAACTGCCCATTAACAGGGCGACAAGAAGAGAGTTTGTAAAAAAGGTATGAATATTTGTTACTATACAATATTGTAAATTTTTGTTTGTTATTCTAAACTTTAAAATTAGCTTATTAAGCCCAAGTCTACCAAGTCTATCCTTACTGAGCCTAAGCATACTAAGGGTAACCCTATTAAGCCTACGTCTAATAAGGTCTGCTGAGTCTACGCCTGCCAAGCCTAACTTAAACCCTAATTTCTATTAAACGTATCTAATTGTCTGGTATTACCTCCTAAAACAGCCTTAACAATATAAAATTGCTCAAAAACATCGGCGAGCTTGCACAATATTCCTGGTATAATGTGATTGCCTTAAGTAAATTGTCAGAAATTTTGTTGGGTAACTTTTATTATGTAATTTTTAAGATTTAAGTAATATTTGCCTCGATGTAAAACGACCCAAAAAATTACTGCGAGTACAGTAAAGTTTTTTCGAGCAATTTAAAAATGTTTACCTTTGATCTTTTGAGTCCAATTCGGACATATTTAAAAGTTTAGAATAGTATCAGAGTAGGTAAGAAATGAAAAACAGGTACTCACAAGTCGCACTTGGCCATGTTCCAAAGTTTAGGCCAAAATAAATCGTTTTTTAGCGCATATTAATTTTTCAATCTATGTAAACTAAAATTGTTTAAATTTTAAATTCAAAGTGTAAACATGACATTTTAAATATTGCATGCCAGCAAATTTTATTTCAATAGTAACCACTACTTTACACTTTTTTTGTATTTCTTTGCACAAAAAGCTTCTTATGCTTTACTTGACACTTGTTATGCCCGCTGTTTTGCTTTGAAAATATGTACATTTCGAATCGTAAAGGAAGCCATTTATAGTAAAACACATTGTAGTGTCGTTAATTTTTTGTAAGTAACAATTTATCAATTACTTTTTAAAAGATATATATTATTCTCTTGTTTTAATAAATAATATACTTTTTGGAAGTTATTTGGCAGTTTTCAAATTAGCGAGCGACTGAAAGCGCGTATTTTACCCTGATATCAACCGTTTCTTTTTCAATTTTCCTTGTCACCATAGTTCATTTTATAACTACATAAATAACATTTTAGAACACTGCCAAAAACAAAGATAAAGCTATAAGACAACTTCACAGTATCGTGTGACCAATCTGGATGGTCTCAGGAAAATACAGTATTGCCCATGAAGACAGTCGAGAAACATTCAGCGATAAACTGGAAAAAATCTTCAAAAAGCCAAAAAGCAACCAAGAAAACGATACGGAACAATGCGAGTGCCGATTCATAACCGATATCAAGGTCTGTGGTAAGTTTAATAACATTTTCTTTATTTTTTCGTTAACTATTTTGACAAAAGGTATAGTATTTTTCAAAAAAAACTAGAAAACATTTTTTAAATTCTTTTCAAATCTGTTCACAAAGATCAAAGTTCTCAATACCATGGCCATCGATAGCTCAAAAGCTAAAAGTTTTCAACAAAAATAAGGCGCTAGGACAAATGCGGTTTTTGGACATTTGCGGATCTGCGGTTTTTAGACACTTGCGGATCTTCGGGTTTTGGACACTTGCGGATTTTGGACATTTGCGGATTTTTTAAAGGTTTTTTTTTATTTTTTAGTTAATTTAGTTGTAGTATGGTACTAAATTGTACTAAAGTTTAAATTGGTGCGGTTTTGACATAACAGTACCTTTTTGGGCTTTTAGTACCATTCAGTACCAAAAAATAGAAAACAGTACCAATTTAAAATTTAGTACTATTTAGCACTAAAACATATTAAAACAGTACCAATTTAAACTTTATTACCATTTAGTACCATAATACAACTAAATTAACTAAAAAATAAAAAAAACCCCTTTAAAAAATCCGCAAATGTCCAAAATCCGCAAGTGACCAAAAACCGAAGATCCGCAAATGTCCAAAAACCGCATTTGTCCTAGCGCCAAAAATAAAAGAAACTGACCACACAAAAGGGCTCAGCTTGTCATTAATCCTCCCAAGGTTGCTGAACAGCGTGCAGCCGATGAGGCTGTCAATAATAAAGCCCGCGAAAACGGCCCAAAATAGATAAAATAAAATAATTCAAGTTATAAAAAAAAACTCGACAAACAGCGAAATTTAGGTATAAAAATACATGAAAATTCATTTCTGTTACTAAAACACTAAAACTTTAAAAATCGCAGGTTTTGTTACCTAAAAACGAGGAAAATCTTGTTTGTTACCTAGAATTGCAAAACCGCAAACAGTAGTATAATAGTTGAGTTGAGGACAGTTTTCAAAAATATCTTTGTTACCTAAAATTTAAAACGAAACAATTTTTCACTCAACAGCATCAAAAATTATGCTTTCAATCATTAAAAACCCAACTCTACCTTGATAACACCCTTGCACCGAGCAAAACAAACTTGCCCAAAAACTGCTAAAAACCGTTATGTCCACTGCGCCGTGCAAGACAGAGTTCCCAAAATCCTTTTCAAGAAAAATCGCAAGATAAAATCCAAGACTCGAAATACCAAAAATATTTCTCAAAATATCCAAGTTATCAGCCGCAACCTGCCAAAAACAAGTCGCAGGTAGCGCAGTTCAAAACCCGCGAAAAACCCTATTTGTTTTTTGCCCCTCTGCACCGTGCAAGACCCTTTTCAATGGACCAAATTCCCTTTTCGATCAAAGGATTTTTTGACAAATTTGGCGACCTCAAAACCCTGAAAATCTGGCCGCTTTTTGGTTATCTCTAACCTTCTCTAGCTACTTTCTCTGTCGTAATGATCTCTCTTTTGTCGCTGATCTGTTTCCCTTGTTCTTTACACTTGCGCAATCACTTTTCGCGACCCTGCCTTTTCTCTGACCGCTCTCCTCAAACCTGCCTCTCTCTCTTTTCTTGATTGCACCGTGCAAACCTTTTTTCGATGGCCAAAATTCCCTTTCGAAGATTGAAGGATTTTCCTCAAAAATCGCAAGACTGGTCGAAACCAAAAAGGGATTTCCGACCAAATTTAGCTTGCACGGTGCAAGCGATCGGGGAACGAGAGAGAATGCGATTTGCGGAGACTGCGACAAAGAGAGAGCGTTGCGACATAGGAGATTGATCAGAGAAGGTTAAAGAAAAGCCAAAATGGCCAGATTTTTAGGGTTTTGAGATCGCCAAATTTGTCAAAAAATCCTTCGATCTTCGAAAAGGAAATTTGGGCTATCGAAAAGGGGTTTGCACGGTGCAACCAAGAAAAGAAAGAGAGAGAGATTTGAGGAAGGCGGTCAGAGAAAAGTGGGGGTCGCGAAAAGTGATTGCGCAAGTGTAAAAAACAAGAGAGATAGACTAGCGACAAAAGAGAGATCAGTGCAACAGAGAGAGTGTCTAGAGAAGGTTAGAGAACACCAAAAGCGGCCAAAGTTTCAGGGTTTTGGAGATCGCCAAATTTGTCGAAAATCCGTCGATCTTCGAAAAGGGAATTTTGACCATCGAAATGCGGCTTGCACGGTGTAGTGGGAAAAACAAAAGGGGTTTTTCGCGGGTTTTATACTGCGCGGCCTGCGACCTTCTTTGGCAGGTTGCGACTGATAAATTGGATATTTTGGGAAATCTTTCTGGTATTTCGTGTTTTGGATTTGATCTTGCGATTTTTAGCTCAATTTTTAAAAATTAGCTTTGCACGTTGCGATTGGAATTCAAAAAATGTTTCTTGCGGGTATTTACTGTCCTGCGGCATGCAAAAGGTAGTTGGCAAACTGGCCACAATAAATTCGAAGTTCTGCTAACGAAAATGTGTGATTTTAATTTTTGGTCGAATAAATTTGTTTTCCAGGCCTAAAAAGGTTGGTTTAAAAATAGAAGTTGACGACAATTGTTTTGGTGCAAATTTTTGCTATTCCTGGTAAATTTAGGTAACAAGTAGAAATTTTGCATTTTGATGTTTGTTTTTTTTTGTTTTTCAGAAGTGTTAGATAATAAATACTGCTTTGACTTTGATTTAGGTCAAAAGTGTAATATCTCTAGTTTTGGGCTGCAAATCTTCTTTCATTAGGATTTTAGGTAACAAAAATCTCGGCGCTCATCCAGAATAGCCCCCCTACCCATACCATTTCAGCCCCCCACCGATGTCAACCAGAACATACCCCCAAAATTCATTTTCAAAAAGCAAATTGAAAATTTCTTTTTTTTTCTCTTGCAATTTTTCACATAAATTTCAATTTTGAACTAATGGTTCCATTTTACTTCGCACCCCCACCCACTGTAGATAGCACCCCCACCCACTGTAGATAGCACCCCCACCCACTGTAGATCGCACCCCCACCCACTGTAGATAGCACCCCCACCCACTGTAGATGGCACCCCCACCCACTGTAGATCGCACCCCCACCCACTGTAGATAGCACCCCCACCCACTGTAGATCGCACCCCCACCATTGTAGTTCACACCCCCAGAAAATGAAATTTACAACCGGCACGTAAAAAGTAAAAAATTATTCATTTTTTAAATTGACCTTTACGAAATCAATGAAAATGGGTATAAAAGGCAGCAGATTTTGCAAATTCTGCTCCACCGTTCACCGCCCTGGCCAGTCAGTAGATCAGCACTCTCTCGCGCGACCCTCAACCTTCAACTCCGGACATTGCCGATATGGTTCGGCCAAGTCGGGTTGACCTGGAGTTGGAGATTGGGGGTTTCACTGGGGGTGCGAACTGGCGGTTGGGGGTGTGAAACGGAATGGGGGGCTGTTCTGGATGAGCCCCAAAATCTCTTTTCAACCTTCAGTAATGCTTTATTCATAAACCTTACAAGCTTTTTTGCCTTTCTTTTTGCCTATATTACAATAATTATCTTAGACATAATAAAGCTAACTTTGAAAAAATATTTTTAAAATCTGTTTGTATTTATCTTTAAACTTGGCTAAACTAAACACTTTTTTAAATTTTTTCACAATAACGTCACAATACATAAAAACCAGTTCAATTCCAACCTGATTTCTTTCTCGTATCCTAAACTTTCGTGCTATTCTCATGGCAACACGTTTGGGCTTTTTGATTTCGATTCTTCGGACTATTTGAAGGGATGAGCAAACAATGAAAGCGCTCGAAAAATAACCGATATCAGAGTATATTATTTTAGGGCGTTTTTATTTCCTCGTTTGATATTCGATAGCCATGATTTCGAGATTATTCTGACGTTGATTTTGATTGAAGAGTTTCTTGAACGTGCTTTCAGAACGTTTAAACGTGTGGTTTTGTTGCTTTGTTGACATAGGCGAGTGGACAACGTGACAGAGGGTTTTAAGGTTACTGTAATGGGCTTAGGGGGCTGACAGGGTAGGATTGGAGTATAGAGGCATAGGTGTGACAGGGTAGGGTATGGGAATTTGAATTGTTTAAAAATTACAGTTTACTAAAAATTATAACCTTTAAATTTCAAATACAAAAACTTATTTTTAAATTTCCAGCAAATCCGGCTGGCTCGAATGAAAGCCGTTTCCCGGCTGATCCACCCGAGCCAGTCCAGCGTCAGATCAGTCTACCGGTCAATCGTTCGCCTGTCCATCAAAGCTCACAATCTCGATCGTTGGAGGACAATATTTACCGCACAGTCGCGGATCAAAAGTTTGGTCAGTCTAATTTGGAAAGACAGAAACCCGTATATTTTGGTCAAGAAGGACTGGGAAGATCTGGATTTGCTTACGATACCGATAGTTTACCAGAAGATTTGGTTGATAAGTCGAGTTCAGAAGGTAGTGGTAGTCAGTTAGGCAGTCCAGGTACGTGAAATTAATAAAAATAGGTTTGAAGTTGTAAAAAATATAGATATTGTTAGTCACAACAATTTTTTACCTAAAATTGAAAAATGAAAAAATATAAAAATTTTCTTAATAATATCAAAAACCTAAACATTTTATTTAATTCAAGTTGAGTATTTTTAGTAGCTCCGGAACCCCCTACTCAACCTCAAACCAATTTTTTCAACGATACTGCAAACCTACCAAAAACATCTCAACAAAGTCATTCAAACCCAGACACTCCAGCAATATCATATCGGCCGGTTGAGCCACAACCACGTCAATCAGCTTCGTCGTCGCGGAATTCATCGACGAAGATGAATCGTTCATCGACGTACGGCATGACTGGTGCTGATTTCATGGAACGGCGAGGGTGGAATGAACGTGATGCTTATGGAAATCCTCTGAATACTAGCAAAGGCGGTAGGAATGTGCTACGGTATATTCCACACAATGCTAGTGGGTACTCGGAGGAGAAAGAAGGGTGGGTTTTTTGAAGGAATAGGGGCAGATTAAAAAAAATGAAAAAAAATAGAATTTTGGCAAATATTTGTTTTAGAGGAGCTTACTTTGATTTTAGCTGTGAGAGGAGGCGCTAAAATTTTGGGATAAAGATTGACATAAAAGGTAATAAAATGGTTATATTTATTTAGGAACATGAATTACATTGTGCCGTTAATTGTACTGGTTGTTTTACTGATCATCATTGTGGTATCATTGATTATATTGTTTGCTACGGGTAGTAAGTTAACCTTATTGTCGTATTTTGTAAAAATTTTAAGAAGAATAGAGGTTTAGAGGTTAAAAAATATTTATTTTTATTTTTAAGTGACCGTGTTTCATACTTGATCCTACTTTAACTAGGCCTACTGTTGCAAAAAATTAGCTCTCGCATTATCTAATATTGAGGAAAAATAAAGACTGTAACCGCATTACGCAACTTTTTCTTATGTAATATTGTTTATTTTGATAATATATGCCTCGATGTAAAACGACCCAATAAATTACTGCGAGTGCTGGGATTTGGTTTCATTTTACTTCGAGGTGTTAATATTTATCTGCTAGCAATATTTTTGAATTGTGCGTCTATTTAGTTTCAGCCAAAGCTTATTAAGATTAAGCCTAAGCGATTTTAAACAGTGTCTTTGATTTTTTAGTCCATCCACAGTTTTCGAAATGTATTCAGGTTTTAAAATTTTTAACTTACAGTATTTCAATTAAAGTCGTCACAAGTCCAACCAACTCCGCCAGACCAAGATCATCGCGACACTGACCCATTACCTCCGAAAGTACAGCTGGTTAACCGAACGTTCGAATGTGAATTCTATATATTGGATCAAGCAAATGCGGCTTACAATGATCCGATGAGTGTGGAATATGAACAGGCTTCTACTATCGTCAGGAATGCGGTAAACTTATATTTTTTGGGGGTTTTTAGGGTATTATAAGGTAGAATGGGATAGAGTAGAATAGGGTAGGATTGGATGTTTTATGTTAGGGCAGGATTTTGTATTTGTTTTTTTTAAAGAAAAGCTTTTTGGGATATTCTTATGTTGTTTTAGTTGAACATGCTGATTGCACAGTCGACTGTACGTGATTTAACGCCCAGTTTACAGATGGAACGACTGAATAATGTGTAAGTCTCTTCTTTATAATGTTTATTTTATAAGTCGGACCAGAATTTTTTGTGTTATATGTATTAACCTTTGGAAACAGTTTATAGGCATATTAAAATTTGAATTTAAAAAATTAAGACTAATAATTTCAAGAAGATTGAAATTTTCTTATTGACAACAACAAGAAATATGCTTTTTTTGTGTTGTTTATTGCAAGTTTTATTCATTTTCAAACTGATTTTTAGTGGAAACGACCTTCGTGTACCATTCCGGCTAACTTTGATGGTGTACTCAAACAGTCAGTTGAGCGCTGAATCTATAAAGAATGTCATATTGAGCGAATTAACGTTGTTGGAAGCACAACTGAACTACACATTTGTAGATCGGACAAGAGTTTCTGTACGAACTGTGGATTATCAACATTAACACAAACGTTTAATGGGTTGTATTGGGGTTAAAATTTAATTTTTTTATTTTATATAAGATTTTAGATTTTTTTTAACTTGGCGTTATCGTTTTTTTTTTGACATTTTACCCATTTTTCAATATTGTACATGTAAGATATGGCTATAATGTTTGTTTTCCTAGTCTTTCACCAATTGTAAAAAAACTTCCTGCCAATACAATATTTCAAATACAAAACAAACAGTTACAGGATTACATTATAATCTCAATCGTAGTATTATAGAGTGTATTACAGTATTATCGTTGTCAATAAAACCGTAATTTAAATTTTAAAAATCAGGTTGTTTATTGCTACTGTTTAGTGGTGTAAGGTAGAGCAGGGTAGGGTAATGTAGGGTAGAGTTCGGTATTTTAAGGTAAAGTAGGGTAACCTAGGGTGTGTATAAACCAAGGTAAGGCAAGAAATGATCGCTGATTTAAATTAGGACAGGCTAAATAAGGGTTGGGTTGAGAACGGTAAACATTGCAGACTTTTTCAAATATAAAGTAGTTAATTTTTTACACCTGATATTTAAAAAAAAACTGTAATTCGGCTGCGTAGATGCAGACTACACTGGTTAGACGAAAAACGACTTTATTTACTGAATATATTATAATTTATAATTATGCACAACAATAATATCAATTTTAGCAAAGTCTGTAAATGTAATTTTCATTGCAAAAGTTATTTTTATGACAAGACACATAATTTTGGGTTGGACAAGGTAAATTTTTCGACGTTTTTTTCCGTTTTTTATTTATTTTTGTTGGAATTTTATTTCAAATTTTAATGAAAAATGCCCAATTAAAGCTAATCAAAAAAGTTTCAAGTTTAAATTACTAATTTTAAAGGATAAATTACTGAATGATGTTGCATTAATTAAACAACTTTGAATCCGATTATTTTAATAATGTCATCATCTTTAGACAACATAAACTTGGATCCATATTCTAGGGATTCGTGGGATTAAATAAGAAAAACTTTTTTCTTACAAGCTAAACTGCCTTTATGGATTCTTAAAAGTTCCAGAATAATATTTCCTTTAGTCTCTGTATAATATTCTCTTACAATATAATGCAATACTTTATTATTTTACATTATCATACAAAAAAGAGCATTTAAAGGATTCAGCCTGCTTTAGTTGAGTAAGGAACACAAAAATATATTAACCATAAGATATTTAGCTTTAAAAATATAATATAAAGCACAAAAATACATTAAAGATGTATCTTTCAAACAATTCTTAAAAGACAAAAATAAAAGGAATATGTTAAAGATTTCCTTAAGTTCCAGTTTAATCGCATAAAACAGTATTTTGTAATAGACTAATCTTTTTTATACAATCGACCGTTTAATTCGGTTTAGATGTTAATACTGCTTAAGATTCCGCGGGCATTCAACTTGTTTGTGTTTTGAGAATCTTCAACATCAAAGTTCTTTTGGCATTAAAACGGCTTGTAAACAAATATTTTGAAATTTTAATTTGTAAAGAAAGTTTTTGCACTAAAGTATTTCCTTTTGTATAGGCAACGACATGGAACTTGTGTTCATAATAAAGGATTGAAGCTAGGTTAGCTTAGGATTAGGGGAGAAAAAAGCTAGGGCTAGGGCTCTGGGCTAAGGCTCTGGGCTAGGGCTCTGGGCTAGGACTTTAGGCTAAGGCTCTGGGCTAGGGCTCTTGGCTAGGGCTCTGGGCCAGGGCTAGAACTACGGTACTAAAATCGTACATGTATACGGAAATATGCGTTTGTTTTCTAATAAACGTGCCAAATCAAAAGGGCATTAAGGTGTTATGTTAATAATTCAGGCTTTAAGAAACAACTAGTATGATATCACGTTTTTTATATAAAACCCACAAAGTTTAATAAATATTTAAGTGGTTTAATTATAGAATTTTAGATTCTTAAGTATATATGTCCACAATTGTTGATTATTAGCTAATTTTCTAAGTTAAGATAATGCTGATAAACCAAAATTATACTACAATATTCTCTCACTGTGATTTTTTGATCAATTTTAGTACAAAAACTTCTACTTTCCTAGTCATTTTATATGCAAAACAGCCTTTAACCAACCGGTTCAAAACCCTTGTTACCCATTTCGTACTGAATTTTTCGTACTGGCTAAGACATTTTTAATTTAAAAATTCGCAAAGAATGAGGATTAAGAATGTGTTTTTGGGGAAAAAATTGAATTAAAAAACAAAGAAAATTTCTTACTCATCGAATTTACACATTTATATTAATATGCTGTAATGAGATTAACAGTCTGCGGAATGTACTAAATAATCTAACGGCATTTGGACGAGAAAATGTGAAATAAATTAAATATACGTTCATGAAAGTAACGTGTAGATTACATATAAATGAAGTGTATAATGTAAATCTTCTGGTACGAAATTTAAAAAAAAATGTTCTTTGTATCAAAAATGTAATGTAATGATAGACATGTGATCTTATTAAAAGATTATTGGAAGTAATTGGTAAGATTTTAAGATGTTTGTAAAATTTTATGAAGTTTGTAAAAAAGTATGTAATTTACTAAAGTAACAGATTTGGAATTTGTTTCTGTAGTACCTTGTACTAGATTTAACTTTAAGACCGTTTTATAACTGTTGCTTGGGCCAACGTTGACTATAACAAAGACCTACAGTATTTTCCAGTCTGCACATAATAAAAATAACTTTTAAAGTAACTTTTAACGTGACAATGCTATTTCAAATTTGATTAAATTATCTTTCTGCAAGTAACACAATAGAGTATTCTGTATGACGCAAAACTTGCCAAAATATTTACAATTTGAGGTAAACACCGCATAGTACAATTAAATTATTCATTGTGCTAAATAATTGCATGTTGTCCATGCTTTAAACATACAATAATAGTGTGACTTTTGATGTGCGTAAAATTGGCGGAAGCGCATGTAAAAGTTATTTTTATTATATATTTGGAATTATTAGTAATTTTACTATGAAGGTAACTAACATCTAAGTTTTTCATTGTAATTTTTTCAAAATTTATTGGAAATTTAAAAATTTTTTTTTTTGGAAAATAGCACATCCATTTTCAAAAACATTCTAAAATATTCTTGCAAACTTCAATTGTTCTACTGTTTTGATTCGATAAAGACCAAAGAATTTCAAGTTTATCAGATATTCTTCCATTTTCAAGATAATATAGCAAAAATGTTGTAGTTTTGTTTGCACATTGTTCTTGCACATAACAACTTTTGAGTTTTCGAAATTAATTTATTTTATTTTATCAGAGGTAAAGAGGTATCAACTTTTTTCGATTTTTTTGAAAGTTGATACCTCTCTACCTCTGATGTTGGGCGTGATTAACTGCCAAACTTTTCAAATCCGATTTCTTTTTCTTATTGCTTCAAGCTTAAAATTAAAAATTTTTTTAATATTTTTTTAAAATTTAAGTTATATCATTTTACAACTTAAAACAGTTTTTAAGTTTCATTGTTCTTTATGATCAGTGATGTAACAGTTTGTTGTTCATTTCCACTATTTATCGCTGAATAATTGAAAGCGGCCAGTTTACGTGAAATTTTCAACATTTTTTATTCAAAACATTGTGAAACAAGATTACCTACATTTTCTAACACTAGATATTTAACATTTCTAACTTTAGATATTTAAATACCTGGCTTATATTAAGCATATAAATCTTTGTCTTTCGCTAGAAATCTCAATATTTGGCTCTGACAAGGTATACAAATAAGATTAAAGTATGTTAGGGCTTACACTAGGTAAATTCCGGCGATTACTACGTAACTACTACGTACGATTTGACTCCAAGAGCCTTGTATTAACACATGTTTAAGGCCTTTATATTAAATGCCTTTGAATAGTCTATCTATATTAACATACACTTGAACGAGGATTAAAACCTATTGAGTTGTAGACCGGTTAATTGTGTTCGAAAGCTCTAATCCGTTTAATTTTGAGAATTGTTATTGCCTTTTGACAATGTTCGGCCGGCTGTAAAAAAAGGGGGCGGAGCGTGCGGAGTGTAAGGAATGAAGGGATGATATATAAGCGTACTGAACGAAGATGTACTGTTATGAGGGTTAAAAGTTGAACTGGGGAAAGTTTTGAGTAATAAAATACGGTTATATGATGGTAGCCTTTTGCTATACGGAGGGGTTTGAGGTTTACTATAGCAAGAATTTATTTTTGTATAGGAAAAATTTATCTTATTAGTGTAGTAAAATACGAAGTTCTTTACTGTAAGGGTTTTAGTAATTTTTAAATTGTATATGATTGTATTTTTAAAAGAACGTTTATCTAATATATATAGTACGTGTTCTGACGTTTATTATGTATAATATATAAAATTATTGTCATTTTTTCAGGTAGAATACGCTTTAATTGGTAATTAAATTGTCTAATACTCGCTGCATTACCACATATATCATATATTAAACTCAACAAATTTACTTCAGTTCTTTAAACAAATATTATATTGACAATGACAACCTCTCCCCTATCAGTCAAGCTACTATTCCTAATTCTCCTACAACTCTCAACAGTGTTATCATACAGAATAGCTCATCGTCCACGACAACACAATCAACCCTTCTTGGCACCAAAAAACTCGGAGCTAGACCCAACAAAAATACAGTACCAAATGCCACGAAACTTTGAGGAAGTAAGCCGAGGCACGATGGATTTCATTAAGAAGACGAGGAAAGTGCGCGGATATGAGGGTAGGAACGTTCAGAATATGCCGTTCCATCCAGCCAGCTTTAGTTCGACGATGAGGAAAGTGCTATTCCCAACTGATGTGTTCTCTAGCACAAGCTTTTCGTTAAGTTAATGGGTATAACGCTTGAGGTAATAGGAGGTGCATGAAGCTCATGCTTTTTGTTAGGTTTAACTTGAGTGTCTTAAATGTTTTTTTTATGATTTTACTATCTCAAAACTTATTTTTGTAATCTTTTATGTTTGTATTTTTGTTATTCAAAAGGCTCT